CTATCAATAATGAAAAAAGATATAGAGAGTGTATATAAAAATATATATATATATATATATATATATATATATATATATATATATATATATATATATGAGCTTTTTGCTCAGTCCCATGTGCGTACTAAATCTTGTTTATATAAGTTCTAATATGTATTCATCAGAAGTACATTGCGAAAGGAGGGGATGTAGTTTTTGCGTCACCACTTTCAACCCGCCTGTGAACATTCTGGTGCAGCAGATAATTGAATATTTCAGCTAAATCTTTCACATGCTGACACCAGAACCTAGATGAGGCACAGATATTCCTGAGGGAGCTTGATATATTTAAAAAAGAGAAAATGTTAGCCACTGAAAAATTCAAGATGGTCACCATGGTGGTCAAAGAAAATACTACCAAGATTTATCACAGGTGTGTATTTCGCTATAGTGCTAAACTGATGAACCCATTGAAAAGAAAATAACTGCAGATGTCAGCGCTAAACCAAATACATGAAAAAATTAGTAGAAGCTATTGCTAAACTGCAATACACAAGAAATTAGTGGAAGCTAACGCTAACCTCTAAGCACATGAAAAAAATTTGTGGAAGCTTGTAGGAATCCAAACATAAAAAAATTACAGAAGCTAATGCTAAACCGCTAAACAGAAAAATTGTGGAAGCTAATGCTAAACTGCTAAACCATGAAAAAAATAAGCAGAAGCTAATGCTAACCTTTAAGACGACTGCCTCTCAGTCTGTCTCACATCTTTATCTCCTTTATCTCCAGTTGACGACTGGTTTGAGATTCACAAATAGAAAAGTTCTCAGTTTCAGAATTTGCCACATATTGTTACTTTAAAGCTGATTGACCAAAGTCTAAAACATATGATCATGTGACAAAGTTAATTGAAGTCATGAAAATGGGTAACATTTTATGGCAATAATTGATTTAAAAGGTTCAAATGGCAGCCATCTTGTAAAATTACATCCTGACATTCAAGTGGCTAATTGGAAATATTAAAAACATACAACCTGAGAGCTGTGCATACAATTTTTTATGCTTGTATCCAGACGTAGACAGTTTTTTACAGTAATATGCTGCCCTGTTCTTAGTCTCCCCTCTCTCAAAAACATTCAGCTGTCTTGATGCTGTTGCTGCTGTCTGGGTCTCCCAGCAGAGCTGCCCGACTCTCTTCCTTTTCTGAGTGTTCACTGAGATAAAAGTCACTGCGGCCTGAAGGTGTTCATGGGTAAAAGCAGCCCTCTGGTCTCTAAGTAACCAAGGCAGCCACCACATCCTTTGTGTTTGAATTTCCATTTTGTTTTCGCTTTTTTTACTCTCTCTCTCTTTTTTTTTTTCTTACAACCACATTTCAGCGGTTTATGTAAAAATGTGAATAAAACCAAACCATGACCGAACATGAAAGCATTAACAGGGAAAAAAGAAAAAGATTTGAACATTTGTTTTTAATATAAATGTCTAAGGAGCTGTTTCATGCAGGCTCTCCTCTCTCAAATAACGGCTCTCAGTTCTGAGGCAGAAACACACGGAGCCGGCGGGGACACAGACTGTAGGTGATCCTGACGGCTCTCAGATGGCGACCCACCCTTTGCACACCGTTCTCATGACTTTCACAGAATGTCAAGGAGAAGCTCACACATTCCTCACAAAACACGTCAGCTCACTTCCCGAGTGTTTTTTTCTGACATCCTCTGTGTGGGCTCTGTGTTTTTGACTTTGTTTGCACACAAGACAAAAAGAATTTCCTGCACTTTAATATGATTTACGGCATTTTAACGGCCCTCAGACCACAACCACAGAGTCCAACAAACGTGTAATTAATCAAAGTTGTATATATATTACTTTGTGTGTGTGCATACGCATGTGTTCTAAAAGTGTAGCCTAATGTATATTTGTAAATAAAAAGGCACTTGAATATCTGTAAATAGAAGTAATATATGTAAATGGCTTTGTGCTCACATCTTAAAAGAAGCGATTTATGCTGAAATACACATTGATGTAATGAACACTAATGACTCTGTTGTCTGTTTTCATAGTCATAACACTGGAGGTTTCACTGTTTGTTTTATGCAGTTGCTGCACAGCCACAGAAATCTGTCTGTTGTTTGTGTTGGAATAGCACAATTTCTGAACTTATATCTCTAGCCAATCTGAGCGCTTGCATCGTGCCAATATCTAGTGTTACGCAACCTTTCCATTGAAAATAGTGTGAATAGGAAGTCCAGATAAAACAGAGCTCTTTTCAGAAAACGGTGACAACAAAACCCTCCAAATACTCCATGAGGATAGGTTTAGAACCTCAATAACGCTGTTAGTGTTTTGTGTAGAAAAGCAATCCGTGGCTTTAGCACAGATTGCTAAAGCGACAGATTGCAAAGCAATCTGTCTAGAGGCTTTAATGTCTCTGGACATTAAAGTCCAGATTTTTGACTGCTAACATTAAAAACATCCTTGCTTTCAGACGCATTTGTTTGATTTGACTTACCAAAGCACCACTTATCAGTGGAACATTATATGACCAATAAATAAATGATTAAGTATAAAGTGATGAACCTTTTAAAACTCCCTCGCAAATATTCATCTTTTACTTGTAAAACTAAACTGTTCACACCACAAGTTGTAGTTTCTCACAGGCTAAGATGCTAGCAGCATCAAGCTAACGTCTTTTCCTGCCTGTGAAGTTGATCAAATAAGGAGATGCTAGCCAATTTTCCGCCAAGAAATTAGCCTAATCAAAGCCGGGGAAAGGAGACAAAAAATAATGGGGTTTTACTTCCTAGATTTTATATTACTGTAGTTTGAAAAGACAAAAATCCAAAAATAACAACCAAACTAAAACACATACTGGGTTATGTAAAATAAACCTTGTTAATGTTTAAATCTCGAAAACATCTTTAAAGATTAGCTCTCTAATACACTTCCTCTTAATTTTTCTTACGTTTTCTCTACATATCTTGTTTTATACTTTAATGACGTGCCACTCTAAAGTTTTTCACTCCTACTGAAAGTTTCAGGGAGGAGTCTCTGTTATTTTGCACCACAAATCACCAACTAGGATGCCTTTCTGAAGGCTAACAGTGTTGTTGTTTTTTTAAACTGGAATGATTTCAACATCTAAAATCCTCTCAAAGAAATATTGACCAAAGCATGTCATCAAAAATATGCAAAGAACTCCGTACCTGGTGATCTCCAATACTTTTATTTATTGACGTGCTGAGATGTAGCTTATTTGACCAGTAATAAAGTAAAAAAAAATAATTCTTGGCTTGCTTTCAGTGTCTTGATAAATTTCTATGAGCTCCATCACTGAGGACTTTGCAAGACAACGGCAAAGTGAATTTCATTATTTCTAATTAAAATTGGACGCTTTGTGAGATTGTTATCCAATCAAATATTTCCGTTGGTCAAATTCTTGCTCGTGAAAATGTCCTTCTCCTCTCTAAAATGGAATATTTGCAATGAAGCAGAAATGTGACTTAATCCAGATAACTGCATTAGCTTCATAGCATCCTTATCTGATTCAAAAAGCATTTTTCAGACTGTGAAGGGAAAAATTGCTCCACCACCCACATGTTACGCTGACACTTGGTTTCAAAACAGTTTGTTCATATTGACTCTCTCCTCCCAACTTCCCTCAGAATACCTCCAGATGTAATTTCACTCTAGAGTTTGTGGTTCTCGCCTTGTGACCCTCTAAAACACAGCTCCGAGACTTTTTTCATACAGGAAAATCCGCTGAGATCAAACAGTGATCTGCTCCATTCACAGCAGCGCAGAAACAGAAAAGTGCTCTAAAGTATCAGCTCATAGCATCACCTAGAAGAACAATTTGTAATTGGCGTCATGTCTGGATGACCTGGGCAAGTATTTCAGTAGCTGCAAGGTGGAAAATATATGTACCTTATCTTAAAACTCATAAAACCAGTAAGATGACCAGTAAAGTTCCTTTTTTAATCTACACACCCCTGTTTTATCCATTCACAATGCCAACACTAAATTTTTTCTTTCTGTGAGATATCAATAATAAAATAAAAACTACTAGTTTCTTTTAGGCATGCAGTAATTCTACTATTGCATCACTTTTCTATTTCAACTTGACTATCCTTCGGTATAAAGGATAAGAAAATCACTGTCACCCAAAAGTCTCTTGATCCTTCTGCGTACTCTCGTAAATCAAGAGAGACGAATCTGCCGAGACGAATCGGATCCTATGAACAAAGGGCCTCGGTCCGCATCATCCCTGCGGCGGTTCGTGCATCGGCAGAAACAGGCAAACCAAACTTGTCATTTTATTGTGTAACTTTTACGGCGGAAATTGGCAGCAGCTGTCAGTCGCAAGAATGTGGAGTAAACACTTTTTACTGGATAAGAAGAAGAACGGTCATTTACTTCATAAGTAAGTACGATATAAGTTCCAGTCAAATGTTTTATTATGGAGAAGGTGCGTTTCTAATTATTAGGAACCATGGGAACAACTGTCTCACCGTCATGTAGCCTAGCATGTACAAAAAAAGGGTTAGCATCTCCTCTTTTGTTTGCTTCTGTGTCTACAAGGGGAAACACAGTTTGTGACATATAGAGGTATAAATAATGTGGTGTGAATTCAGGCAAACTCAGCAATTCAATCAACACATCAGGAAGGAGAATCGGTTTCTAAGCTAGCCTTTACCAAATGGTGTAAATGCCGCTATGGGAGCAACAAGGTGTGCTACTTCCACAGACAAATTGCCATGACTTGAACAAGCAGAAGCTGTGATTATTTTGACAAAAACAACTCTTTTCAAAACTCCCTAAGTGTCGTATTCTTGTGTCAGATTGGATTCAGTCACAGCGCAAAGTTTTGGAGAATCTATGAGATGATTCTGATAGTTCTCATTCAAGGTCATCCCATCGAGTTTAGAACAGAAATCCCTGACTATCCAGTGTCTTCTTGGGCTCAGGGCTGCATTATCTTTTGCGTCATTTTAGACAGATGCCACGAAGATCCACACTTCCTTTCTTTGATGGGTAAATAACTCACATTGTGTTTTTCTCACAGGAAACAAATCTGCTTTTTCGGTTTCTGTCCAAACAATCACCTGGCTTACCGTCCACCTGACACGCCGGCCTCTGAAACTGAAGCAAGCAGGCGAGGAACCAAAGGAAGCATTGGAGAAGGAAGGTAACCATTTTCAAAGTTGGTTAAAAAATGGATGCCACAAAGCGAGAGACACTCGCGACGCCTCGTCTTAATTCAGCCGTGGTTGGTCGGCGGTAGAGGAGACGACATGTGGCTCTCTCAGCGTCTTTACTACACGCCGCTTCCGTTTTCCTGCTCCATTGTTCTCCCTTTGAAAATAACACATACCTCAGTTTGCTATTGTGACGGCTAATCGGCCCCGCGGGGTCGCTCAGCCAATGCGAACAAGCCAATCCAAAAATACTATCATGCAAAAGCCGGAAGAAGTTAAAACATTGTTTTGATACTTCACACATTACATAAAAGCAGCCGGTCAAAAGGACGATTGAATAACAGCATTGATAAATAAGTTGTTTGGTTCTTTTTACATGGTTTGTAGATGAAAACCGACCGTCAGAAGCGGCTGATGCAATTTTTAGCAAGACCGATCTTCCATAAAACATTAGATTTTGGTTTTCTTTAAAGTTCGAGATCCTCATGGCAATTTCTTTCTAGTTTCCTTCAAAGACTCTTTTGCTCTCATTGATATTTTGTAACCCAAGTTACTTTTTGCACATTGCACAAAGTTTTGTAAACTTTTCCGGTGGATTATGTCTTAAATGAAACCAGTTAACACTAACCCTGGGATGATTTTGGTATTAAAGGGGCTTTAATTCAGACTATGAACCCGTTTTGCATTAAAGTATAAACAGCTCAACTCAGTTCAGTGTTGTGTACCAAGTCAGCATATATTGAATATAAGTTAATGTTATATTTAAATCTTTAGGAATATACTGAGTGTTTATATGTGTGTGTCCTTAAGACTATTACTGCTCATTATTTATTGTTGTATGTTTATTATAATTATAATTTATTTATTTACTTATTTTTTTTGTTGTGTGCTATGCTGGGACAAACAAATCCCCACACTTCAGGGATCAATAATATCTTATCTTATCTTATCTTATCTTATCTTATCTTATCTTATCTTGTCTTGTCTTGTCTTATCTTACAGCTATGTAGTTTGCTGATGTTTCGTCTCGTCTTACAGAACACATTGCCACAAAACAAGAACAAGACAAAAAAAAAAAAAACCTCCCGGAAAAGCAGCCGTCAATCTCCAAAGATGAAGCCACGTTCATCTGAAAGTGTCAAACTTCTTGAAGTGTAAACAAATGCTAAGTAGCTTAAAACTTCTGCACTGAACCATATTTTATGACAAAACTGATTTGCATCCTGGAAACTGTGTGTGTTATTGTCCGGTGTTGGCTTCGGCTGTCGCCGGGTTTCCTCTGTCAGCTCAAGTAATTGTTTCCTAGCAGCATGGGGGTCTCATCATGGAGTTTGTTGCTGAGGCCATCAAAGGACGGAGCGGTGGATTTTTAAAACCTCTAATCTGGTCCATGACCCCTCGCCAGGAACCGTAGTGAACCTGTGCTTTACTGCTTCCCTTCGGAGGAAGAACACAATCACCTCCGCGGCGAAGAAAGACGGAAAAAGGGATGGAATAAAACATGAGGCCGTCTTTTGATGTGAGACTCAAACGTGGTCTGTGTAGCCGGAAGGGCTTGAAGTGAATGGTAATATCTCAACACCTCTTATAATAAATTACAAATATTAAAAACAGTAATTTAACACACGTATATTCAGCCGCCTTAATATCCCTCAATCATTTTTTTTTTGCCACAACCAGTTGTTGTATAATTTGATTTCAATATATTTAAAAAAAAAAAAATCTGCTCGGTGAAAACCTCAGAAGTTTGTCATAAAAAAAAAAACAAACCTTAGATGTTCCTGCTTATAAAATTACGATTAAATAAAGCATGGGACACAACAAACATGACGACACAAGATTTGAGACAGGGACAGAGGTTTGAACTCTGGTAAAAATAATAAATCAATTACTTCCTGATCATCTTCCCAGTCACTCGTCATCCTGTCTGTTTCGCCGAGTCAGACCTGCAACGTGCCCTCAAGAATCACCTCTGTTCCTGCTTGCACATTTGTGCATTCATCATAAGCAGAAGCTATTTTAGCTGCACTGTGTTTCACTCAATCTGACTGAACTTGAGACAAACGGGTTCAGTTTTCATCCTGTCTGTCATGGAGAGGTGAGAAAGGCAAACGGTGAACCACCCGGTCAGAAAAAGCTCAGATCTTATCAGGAAGTGGTGAAGAGAAACGGATGCTTGTTGGTTTTAGGGATAAAAAAAAAACAAAAATAAAAAAACACTTAAGGAATGTGCATCATTTGGTTAAATCTGTTTTTATTTAGAAAACATGTCTACAGATGAGTGCGGGCAGGACTGTGGTTAAATATATTTCCCCTGCAAAATCTTCTCATCTTGATAACAATGGACAAGTAAGAAGGCAAAGAAACAATATAAGACTGTACAAAAACACAAAAACTTAGCAAGTATTTTCATCTAGTTTCTGTACCAAATGTCTTAGCTCACTTCAAATAAGACAAAACGAACTTTTCAGCAAAACGCAGGAGTCAACGATTCTGTAATGTTGATGAAAAAGTGCTAAATCTGCTGGCAGATTTTTTTTCACTTATAACAAGACATTATTCCCATGTTATAAGTGAAATAATGTTATAACATCATCAATATTAAGGAATTATGATCTCCAATATACTGCTGAAAAGAAAAGTTACTTGTGAGTCAGTTTTGTCTTATTTCAAGTGTTCTAAGATATATTTTCTAGAAACTAGACACACTTGCAGTGTAGTTATTTAAATCCCTTTAACTTCAGTTCTTTGTTAAAAAACAAAACACTGAGTGTGTTTTTAATTGCACGCAAATTCTTGCGGTCACGTTTCCCATGGAAGAGGCTTTGGTCGCACGCTGGTGCAGAATTGATCAAACGTGTGCTTTGATCCGCTGCCGGATCGCAGCATGACTTCACCTGAAGTCAGCTTACAGATGAGAACCTTACGATGCACAGACCCGGTTTCAATCAGAGGCAGAGGCAGGGAGGCGGGCTGAGAGGCCGCCAGACACACTGACCTTTTCCTCTGGACGTCATTGTATAGGTGTGTGGTTACCGGGAACACGCAACGCAGGTGTCGGCCATGTTTATGGGGGGCCTCTCTGAGTCATTGGGCTTCCTGATTGGAAGGATTTCCAATGAAAATCCAGTCAAAACATTTCACCGAGTTGTTGACGCGAAAACGGACTGAAAACAGGCCGAGCGGGGAGCGCAGAGCGGTGTGTTGATGGCACGAGTTGTTGCCTAGCAGCAAATACCGAGTTAGGTTGTGTCTGTGATTAATGAAATGTCAGAGCTGAACTTTTTGCTGCCCTCAAACAAACAGGTACAAGTAACCGGCTCTGTAAACAGTTTTACAAGACAGGAATGTTTAAGCAGAGCAGCTTATCAGAGGTTTCATAAAATGATTTTTTTTTTTTTTTTTGAAGACAAGAGTTTTCCTTCTGAGAAGCACAAACATGTTTACATTCTCTGCTGATGGATGAGGTCGTGAGCAGCATCCTCACGCAAAGGCTAAATAATTCCATCTCGCTTCAAAGGATTTGAAAATCCTTCTCTGTTATTAATCTTCTTACTTGTTATTGGGACATTTTACTCTTGTATCATGTCAGTAAAATGAAATAAAAATTGTGTGGCTGCCACAAATTGCAAAAGTGTTCACACCCCTCACATCAAAACCACAATCAGTTGGGTTTTATTGGTGGGGAAATGCAACGTAGCCCACAATAAAATGATATATGGTATTAAACATGTAAAAAGAGTGGCCTGCACCACCTGGTTCAGTATTGTGAAATACGTCGAAGCTTGCTGCTGTAATATATTAAATTGTGAAAAGTCCTGAGAATATGAATAAAGGCACTTTTTTTCTGACCTGCTTTCCTTTTTTTTCTTTTTTTTTTGTTTTGTTTTGCAGGAAAGTGAAGCATTCAGTCATATAATTCAGTCATATAATGCATGTTTGGTCTGCATGTGTTGTGCTGTGCAAACTGAGACCAAAGTCCCCCAGATTAAATTATATTTTTTAAAAATTCAATTTGGATAATTTAATCAGATCTTCTCAGACAAAAAAAAACAAAACAAAAAAAACAAATAAGAAAAGTCAAAACAAAATAAAACAAAGATCTTTGGCGTGTCTCAAAATGTCAAAAAATTTAATGTGGTTTGATCAAAGAGCATCCTCCTGCAAAAACATGTTTACAACCTGAACATTTCCCCCCTCCCTGTGCTTTCATGCTTCTCTCCTGCCAGCAGACTCTGACCTCAGCTCAACAAAGGAAAACAGTTGTTTACCACAAAGTGAGGAAAGAAGCAACAGAGACAAACAAATCGGGCAGGGGCTTCCTGTGGAGCGTCTGACCACCATCTTAGCCCTCAGACGGGGGAGAAATGTCTCCAGGAGCTTCATATGCAAACCAATTTGTGGCGGTGGCAGCGGCACCTCTGCCGGCTCTGTGGAAGAAATTCATTCTGATTGATGATTTTCTTCTCCCTCATTCTTTCAGGAAGTCTGGGCAACATTGTTATCAATAGCAAAATGCAAAAAAACAAACAAACAAACAAACAAAACAAAAAAAACAACAAAAACAATAACTCAAGCAAGGTTTCACAGATTCAGTCTGAATCGTCCTCCAGGAGATTTTCAGATTGACAGTACCATCTGCTGGTCAAAGAGCCAAACTACAAGGTTTGATTTAAAATGTTCATGGCTCCTTTTCAGATCAATTGAAGCCCCAATTTGACCCATTCTAGATCCAATCCCACAAAAAAAAAAAAAAAAAAGTTTTTGTACATCGTCTGTGTTTTACTGCGTACCATTTTCGTTGATTGACTTTCTGATCCCGGTTTGGTGCAGCCGATGGTTATGAACTGTGAACTTACGATCCCTGATCAGACTTGAAAGCTTTGTTAGGGCTCAAAAGCATTCTGTGAAAAGATAAAAAAAAAAATGAGAAAGTAAAAATAGAGATGTATCAACATATCAAATGGTGGGAATTAAGTACGTTTGTATACTTTAATCCTTTTAATCCCAAGAAGTGTTTTAGAAAATCTCTCTTGCTCCGATGATTCCAGTTTAAGACCCAGTAGAGTTTGTCAAGGTACCAATAGCTACTTTTTTTGACCACTTGATTGGCCAGTATGCAGGTTTCACATAAATTTTTATTGTCTAGCATGGAAGGAGAGAGCTTAATTTTTTCACAGGTTATCTGTCTCGTGTTAAACATTGTCATTATAGTGACAGTTTTCATAAATATGTAAAGACAAAAATGCAATAATAGCTTCCTACTGCAGCTTTAATAACATTAAATATGTCACAACGTATGAAGCTTAACCGCAAAATGTAGAAGTTTAACCTTTTATACCGACTTTCTGGGACGAATTAACATTTTGATGACATTTAATATTTGCATCGTATGTTAACAAAAGACAATTAAAAATAATTTAAATTAGAAACAATGGAGTGAGGGATCTGAACCATGAAGCCTCCTTTTCAACTTCTCTAGGATTTGGGATTTTTTTTCTTTTTCTTATTTTTAGCTTTTGAGATGCAATGCAGCTGCTCCCAGTTGTAAAAACAATACCTTGTTGCCACGGCTTCACATCATAACAACTGTCCGAAAGCAAAAAAAAAAATAAAAATAAAATACTTCCAGCTGCACAGCATCCAAAACTAGAGGGAATAATTGTCCAAACAAGCCCCCCCCCCAAAAAAAAAGATTTCTCTCAGCTGTAACTTGAGGTGCAGCAGTTTGCCTTTGTGAAAACATGGACTGCAGCTCCTCTAGTGGCAACAGATGGTATTAGATTTCACTCCTGATGACACCCTGAAAACAAACGCTGCAGTGAGAGTCGTTATCATAATCTCCATCATAAACACACACAAAACCGGCATAATTCACCCTGACATTAAGTCTAATAAATCGCCTCACTGTCTGTCTCACACATTTGTTACCGGACAGACGCAAACCTCCGCATGAACACACCGCGCCGCCACCTCCGGGTTGTCTATCCTCCCCAGTGAGTGTGTGTGGGAGCCATCTGTGTGTCTGTGTGAGTGAGTCAGTCGTCGGTCAGACAGGCCCGGCTTATTAAACCCACACACAGGCATCCATCCAAAAAGGACAACAGATTTTTTTAAATGTAATTTTTAAGCAAGCTTGACCCCTGTCATCAATGTCGTAATCATGTGAAGAAGAAGAAGAAAAACAAGAAGAAGAAGGCAGAGGTGAAGGGTGGCGATGTGCATGAAGTGAACCAAAAATAGAAAATGATTGAATCCAGCAGAGTTAAATTAGATCTAGTCATCGCTGACTAACACTGCAGCATTATGCAATGCGGCAGAGGCACAGAAGCAACCCGCTGGATGTGATTTATGGTTCATCTTGACGTTTTTGTCTGCTTCGTTTTGAGTAACAAGCAAAGACTTTAAGTTTTACCTTTATTTATTTATTTTTTTTTACTACAAGTAAAGTCTCTGAAACAGTGGTCCCGAAAGTCGGTCCTCGAGGGCCGGCATCCTGCATGTTTTAGTTCTCTCCCTGGTTTAACGAACCTGGATCAAATGATGGCTAAAGAAGGTCTAAGAAGAACATTGACCTTTGTGTCGGCTTGTTGCATACCACTCTACTTGGTCTCTACGGAGACACGGTGGTCTGTTGAGAACGGGGAAATCTGGGAACTTTTTTATCACAGTAAAACTCCAATGAAAAGGTTGTTACTACCAGCAGGGAGAGAACTAAAACGTGCAGGATGTCGGCCCTCGAGGACACCAGATGAAGCTTTTGAAGCTGCAAAATACTGCAGAACTGATGAAAGTGGAAACGTCAGTTTTCTATATTAAGATAAATTCAATTAGTTTTGCATTTGGTGTCTTGTAAAGAATCTCAGTTCATTGGAGTTTTGCTGTGATAAAAAAGTTCCCAGATTTCCCCGTTCTCAACAGACCACCGTGTCTCCGTAGAGACCAAGTAGAGTGGTATGCAACAAGCCGACACAAAGTTTCAGTTTTGCAGAGACACCAAGCTCTGCTAACCTTTCAGGTCTCATGAGTTTGAACTTTTGGAAGTGCGAACATCATCGCCAGTCGCATCAAACCTTACACCGTTTCCGTCCGCCCCGGAAAGCTCAGAGTCACTTCGCGACTCTTCATGGGGGTCAGTGATAATGATGCCCCTGCTTCTGAGCTGAGCATGAAGTGAAATCAGGCCAACCGGACCGGACAGCACAGGTCAAACACTTAAACTCCATCAAACTGAATTAGTCTGGATGTTGTTGACGACCGAACCGAGCGAACCAGGGTCTAATTTTGCTGAAAATTCTTCATTAGAGTTGCTCTGGAAGCTGAAAAGCAGCCACCAATCTGTCTCATTGATATCACACAGATTAATTTGTTACGGAGCAGCGCTTAAGAGTCCTGCTACCTATTTATCAACCTCGTCTCTGCGTGCCGTGTCAGCGCCGTGGGCGTAATCGGGTCAGTGGAACTCTGTGCAGACAAACTTTAAATTATTGATCAGCTGTAGTCTGCCAGCAGTCCATCATCAGACCACTCGCCGTCACTGGAGAGCCTCGGTTTAATGAGTGCACTCTCAGATTTAATGGCTGTGCTGCCTTTTAAAGAGCGAAGATGATTGTTGTTATTGAACGCAAACAAGAAGCTCGTCTAACGATCATTAGGAAGATCATTAGAGAACGATCATCATCCACTGTTGGTGGCTCCGGAGCAGAGGTCGACTGAGTAGAGCAACCAAAAGATTTGACTCGATGAGAGTAGAACTACTTCTGCATATTTTTACTCACGTAAAAGTAAAAAGTAGCCGTCCAAGAAATGACTCGAGTAAGAGTAAAAATGTGTTTGTGTAAAAAGGCTACTCTATCACACAATCAATCAATCATTTCATATTTCAAAATTATGATTTTTATGTAGTTATGTGGATTTTTTTTTTTTTTTTTATTTAAGGACCAAAATTAAACTAATTCATTTTGTAACATAATTACAAAATAACAAAATCAGGCAAAAAAAAAAAAATCCAAATGAGTTTGGCCTTGGTACAAGAGTGGCAGGAATTGATTGTTGAAAGAAAAACTATCAGAAGTCACATTTTTGTCGTTGCCAAGCAAAACACTGAGTCCATATTTTAATAAATCATTTTTCCTTGTGAAAATCAACTCTATTGATCACCCTGCACATCCGTCTATAGTTGAAAAGTATCAGAGGCAGCATATGATTTTAATCAAACAGTATAAATTACTTTTCATTTTCTAAATTGCAAAAAAGATTTTTTTGTGTCTTCAAATGTTTGAACGGTCCAGCCAAAGTCCAAGAACTCAGCCACCGACTGTGAATTCGGCGCCATCTCTTATCCCCTGGTCACAGCTACACGTTTGCAGTTTGTGTCCCGTTTGCAAAGTCCCAGTTATATTCAGGTCAAATCAAATCACTCTGTGACATCACTGGATTGTTGATGCTCACGTCGACTAATGTCAGCATCAAAGCGCCGTGAGTTACAGGCTAATCTGATCAAAAATAGAAACGAGAGTTTCACTGAATGTATTCAGGCAGCAAAACTTTGAGTTGGATTTGAATCATCATGTTTCCAGGCCTGTAGGGGGAAGTTTTTTTTTTTTTTTTTTACTTTTAATGATAACAACAAAATAATGTTTTTGTTTCTTTTCCTCAAATCTGAAAGAGTGTCTTGCACTTCAGCTCTCTTCAGCTTCGCCAATAGAAAGCAGCCTCGAGGCTCTCTGTGCGGTTCGGCTCGTCTGCTGACTGTGCATTGTATAACAAATCGAGGCACACTTCTCCAAAATCCAGTTGGAACTGGAAAAGTGTGGCGCTGATAAGCAACAATAGGGATACCAACGGCCGCGTGATTTGATTTGACTGAAGCGTTGCCGTAGTTCTGGGGCCGTTACTCTGCTGACCGAGGCCAATGAACGTTGCCACACTTGATCCTCACAAGTTGAATTTGTCGGCTTGCTTTGAGGAAGACGTTTCGAGCGCAGCACGCTTAGAAACCACGCGGGAGAGAAACTCTGAGTTGCTTCTGTTTTTGTTGCGTCTTTTCTCTTTCTGACAGAGGATTCATGCTTTTATCAGTTTTTGCTTCCCAATGTCTTTTGTGTGTCTCTTTCAGAAATACAACTGCAGCTCAAAGAAACACGCAATATTAGTTTAAGGATAATATGTCAAAGTTCTTAAAACTGTGTTCATTTCTATGTAGCTGAGTGAATTGAATTGAATTAAATTGAATTAAATGAATTCAATCATTCATTTAACTGTCAATGAAATCTCAAAAATAAATTTGCTCAATGGAAGCTCGTCAATTTGGAGAGGGTTAGGATATCCTAACCCAAAACTTTTTTTACAAGAAACTTTGGAATGAGGTGGTTCTTAAGCTGCATCAAAACAAAACTGCAAAGGAAATATATAAAAATATTTTTTATGTGATCAACAACTTCATGTCACTGCTGCCGGGAAAGACGAAGACAACAGGACGTAGCATGAGGACGATGGTGTGCCATGTTTTTTAATGACATCTTATGACTTTAATTGCATTTCTAATTTAATGGAAATGCTGCAATTGCGCATATTTTTGCGCAAATTTGTAACGGAGACCCAGCTACCATAACCATCAAAATGACAAAAAAAAATAAAGGCTTGGAATATTTCCCTCTGTGTGTAATGACACAATATTATATATAAGTTTCACTTTCTGAAACGAGTGACAAGAAATATTAAACTACAAAACAAGAGCTTGCAAAGGGCAACACGATCATCGCTATGGGACTTTGACGTTCCAAGACGTGATTTCAGAGTGATTTTTTAATTCTTTTTTTTTTAAAAATACCAGCTGTCTGATAAAAATCTAATGTATTCTGGACAGATATGTTCATCCAATGCTGTATTCCCAGTCTTGAAACATGGAGGTGGCAGCGGAGTCGTGACATTTTTGCCAGCGGAGACAAGGAAACTGGTCAGAAATTATGAGAAAACTGATGAAGCCAAACACATGGCAGTCCTGGTTTAAGATCCTTAAAAAGCTTGATAGTTGATGCTGACGTGTAAAATTAGTCGAGACATAACCAAAGCATTGACTCGTGTGAGGTGAAAACTCTGAATACAGTATTCAAAATGTGTGGATGTTATTGCATGGCAATAAATGTCCTTAATAAACTCTATAGCTCATTCGCGGTTGCGCAAATAAGCCTCAAAGGAAGTCATAAAAAAGTCCCTGGGGAGTGCAGAAGTTTAAAACAGAGAACTATGACCTCCAACAGGCTTGTTGTGTTCAGTGAAGTCAATGTGGGAAACAGCACGCCTGCAGTATTTATCAGATTTCTGCACTAGTTACACAGCCTCGAGGTGATTTAAGCACCTTTGACCTCCAGCAGTAAGCGGCTCACTGAGGCGCGCGCGCACACGCACACACACACACACAAGCAGCGACCGGTTTGTCACATGACGACCAGCGTGAAGCCCAGTCTGCCTGTGTGTGTTTGGCTCCTATTTCCGCGTTCACCCACACCGACTGAATGAGTCTCTACCAGCACCACCAACACCGCCTCCTCCACCGCAGCAGCAGCAGCAGCAGCAGCAGCTCTGTGTCTGCTGCCGCCTGACGCAGAGAAACCGCGTCCCCGTGCGGGCATCGTCGCCCACCCGCATCGCTCCGCCGCCCGCAGCAGCCATGCTCACGCGAGTGAAGTCGGCCGTGGCCAGCCTAATGGGAGGCGTGATGGCCGGAGGATCTAACGGAGACCATCCCGGCGGCCCGGATCTGCCGCTCAAATTTCCGTACAGCAGACCGGAGTTCCTGGGTATGTCTGCCGACGAGGTCGAGTGCTCGGCGGATCACATAGCGCGACCGATCCTGATCCTGAAGGAGACCAAGCGGCTGCCGTGGGCCACCGGCTACGCGGAGTGAGTAACCTGCGCGTCCATCTTTTCTTGCATCCTTTGGAAAGTGAGATCACTCGGGCGGGTATAAACACAAACACCAGCACGCTTTTATCATCGGCCTGCTGTATGTGTGTGTGCGCCCTTAGATGTGCATATAAAGAGCGGCGGCTCTTTCATAATCCATTGGGATCGAGATGTAACATTAGAAATGATTGTGTTGAATATAAAGTGCAAGGACATTGCAACGAAAGATGCGGGTTATCTTTTCTCTCTCTCCATGCTCAGTTGAAAAAAAAATAATTTTATGATCATCAGCACTTGACCTAATAACCTACTTATTTCACATCATCCGCTTGGTTCTTTAAACAAACAAACAAAAAAAATGAATCCAGACTTCGTTGTTCATCTTTTTCTGTTACTGATATTCGATATATTCCATCTTTCTGCCTGCGGGGTAATAATGCCTGATGTGTTTACTTTGCCTGTGGGAGGCACAAAAGGAAGCAGAAATGTTTCCAAATCTAGAGGATCTAGTATTTTTTTTTCTTTTTTTAACATTGTCTAAAATATGCAGCTTGTGCTTCACTGATAGAGCTTGTACTTTTTTAAAGAGAAACTGGAAAACGTGATAGAAATATAATCATCAGGGGGAAACATCTGGCATTTTATTAAGGTTTTTGTATCTAGCTGTTTATTTACATCCATCCATCCATCATTTTTGAGACCTCATTTTATGTGAATTCTGGATTTCTGCGTTATCTGTAGCAAACGTCTGATGAGTTTCACTTTGGCTGTTTTTCATCAGCTGGCAGAGTTTTAGTTCTTTTTTTAAGTTCACCTCATAAATGTAAATCATTTTGGGGTTTGATTGTCAGAGGCTTCAGAGGTGTGATTGTAACTTTAGTGGCTGATGAAGACGAGTGATCGTCCATTCGGAGCATTTCATCGGCACCTTTCTCTTTCCATATATATTCCGACATCCCGCGTTGGGCCCGAGCTCCTACCTCGTTACAGAGAGATGCCAGCTCAGTCTGACATTTGACCCTTTATTTTCCCACACTGACATTTTCTTCAAAGGCTGCTATGATCGCAGCGAGTGCGTTTCCTTCCCTCTCTTTGTTTCGTAGTTGTTTATTTTTGGTAAAAAGCAGCGTCTGCAGAAATCCCCCCAGTCTTTCTCTAGCTAATCTTTTTAAGTTGAGCCATCCAGGTGTGAGATGAATGTCATTAGAAAGACAGCAGCGGAACAATGTCAAAAAAAGAAGAAGTGCAAAATAACCTTAAGGGTCCAACTTGACGTCTCCAGTGAATCTTTTGGATACTTTCCTGTTTAAGCGTTGAGCATTGGACGTAGAAACGGTTTCCAAAGTCACAGGGTCGCATGTTGTAGCTTGTTCTTTTCCAAACTAAAAAGCCCAAATTCCTAATCCTCTCAGTTCAGACGGATCCAGAGATCATTTGATATTCTTGCTTGCACAGCTTTAAAAGGAGGCTTTATCTATGTCTACTTGTGACAAAACTGACAAATTAATATGTAAAAGAAGACGTAGAAACACACGACCAACGTGGTCCTCATCAAGTCTTTGGAAGACTGAAAAAACGGCCTATCAGGAAACAACCTTCTGCTGTAGAATAAGCTAAATTATCAATTAGGAATGTACAAATAAATGAGAAGCCAACAATTACTCAAAATGGCGAGTTTTGTTATTTTCAACAAACACCTCGACTCTTGTTTCATAAAAATCAAGTCTAGTCACAAGCTAAAAGTGACCATCCTTGGTGCTGCTAAATGCCGTCAGATTTGTTTTAATTCAGCCACGTTGAGCTCATTATACGCGCTACTCCTCAGTGCAACCCTGGTGAAAACGTTGCTAAGCAGCTAATAGAGGAGCCATGTTGTGATGACTTCCTGAAGGCGGAGTTTCAGAAAAAGCAGGAGTTTTTAAAGAGACGCACACCAAATTTCAAGGTGTGAAATCAGGATGTAAAATTACTTTTAAGTCATATTTGATATATATAGCAGAGCCAAAGCATTGTGACCAACTTGGTCTTCAACGTGAGTTGACAACGTTGCTTGTAAGGCGATGTGAACAAAACAGAAAGATTGCATCACTCTAAAAAGTTTGAACAAAAATTAAGAAATTAAATTTTAAAAAAAAGTAAGGAAGTCACTTGGATAAATAATCTGGTTCATTAAAATGTAAGTTGTAAAGGGCTTTGATTAAAAACGCTGCTTCACCGGGAGGCGTTTAGGATCACTGTTGCTAACTGTGTTTCCATCGACATTTTTTTACACAACGCTTTAAGGTTGATGGAAAAGGCAAAATTTAAAATAAAGTCCTCAATTTCTCTCGCTTGAGGTCGTTCTCGTCTTTCCCGAAAAAGAGTTAACGAGCCAAAGGGGAGATGGAAGCATATGAGCCAAACAAGTTCCAGCTTAGGTGGGTTTGTACCTTACCAGGGTCACGAAACACAAAAAAATGTCCAAATCTCTACCTCCCTGAATCTGAAAACGTACATAATTTTTCATTTAATTCTGCATTTACAAGTACAAATTTTAACAACTTTTGTTCTGAATTAAAATATTTAGATCAAATCAGTCTTTATCTGCGAGAATTAAAATCAGAGTTGGTTTTTCTTCTTCTTTAGTGAAGCCAGGCTGTGAGGTTATTCCTGCGTCAGTCCCTGGAGACGCAGGAAGAGCAGCTCTGCTGTTATCAGGATGATTCTGATGCCTGTTTGAGGATCTGGACCAGTGAGCAGGATCATTCAGATGGACCAGTGGTTATTGCTCACTCTTGTCTCAAGTGTGCATACAAGCCCCGCTCTCAACTTTTGCAGAGTGTTTGCTTCTTCTGCATCTCCTCTACCCCCGCAGTTGTTTTTCCACTGAGAAAAATCAACCTCTACTGCTGTTTTTTTTGTTTGTTTGTTTGTTTGTTTGCAGAGCGGAACGGGGAGTTGGGTTCATTACCACCAATGCTCGATCTGGATTTTTTTTTTTTTTTCCAGTATCGGGACCGGTACCAATATTAATATCGGATCGATGCATCTGTGCCTGTAATCCAGCATCGCTGTAGATTAGGGAGTCCAAACATGTGCTGTTTGTTCCTTCAATCTTTTAGTATTTATAAAGTCATCTTGTAGTCATTCAAGATTTAATTTATCATACAGAAGTCTGCTAATGACTGATTTTCATTATTTTAACTCCCTCAAATTTCACTCCATCCATTTTCCCACCAGCTGTCCAGCCTTCCTGTGCTACCTGAAAAATTAAAACCTCTCCACAGCGCCACCACCAGGGCTCACCACGGGTTACATGCAGCCTTCGTGTTCCTCCTTGAACACTCTGGTTGAGCTGTTTTTCGTTCTGCTTCTTTAACCTTAGCCCAGACAGCTGTACAGTCCAAACCTCATCTCGAGCAGAGCCGTCGTATCGATGGAGCAAAGATCAGTTGTCACAGAGCTTTGTCCTCCTGCTGCTCCTATATTTGTTTTATTTTTTTACCTACCGATCCACAACGGTTAATGCACAACCTCAGCAGCTGTAAGATCAATAACCAATCAATAGGTTTCTCTGCAATATAAACACGAGGGCCAACTTTCCACCTTCTCGTTTGGTTGCACCAGCGTTTCCAGCTCACCGCAGAGAGTTTATCCTTCAGCTCTGACTGCAGTTTCTATCTGTCTTGGCTCTTTGCCTTCTGCTTTTGTGCATTTCTTTTTTTATTTTCATTTTTTTACTCGTACATATTTTGTGTTCTCATCAAAAGAAGCAACATAGTAGAAGGGGGCTAAGAGGAGGCACATGAACAGCATCAGTCACAAGACTCTTCACATGCTCACCACCTGCATCGGCGCGGGAAGGAGGAAGGAGCGATTGACCGATTTCATTTCAACCTGGAACCTAAAACTGAAAAACGTAACATTTTAGGTTTATGTTTTCAGCAGGGCTAAATTAAAGATTAAATGATGACTGTTGAAAATCTGTTATAAGCAATTTGACAACAAGGATGATGATTTCTTTTTTTTCATAACTAACCCCAAAAGCCTATAATTGTCAGCATTCGTAGCCTGCAGGCTGTTCACCCCAGCTTTTGTTTGTGCAGCAAGTAGCAAAAAAGTGATCCAGGGCAGCCTGTAATTCATAACATCCGCCACCAATTGATCCGCCTCCAATGTTTTTGAAGTTCACAGTCTGCAAGATGTCAAACAAAGCTCCCATGTAGTTCCTACGGGCTGAACGCCTTCCAAAGCAGCAGTGGAAAATTTAAAGGAAAATCAACCTGTGTGGATGAAGGCAGAATGAGCAGCAAGTCCGAACATGGCTGAAACATGGCGTTTTAATATTTGACAAACAGCGTTAAATAAGTCACTGCATGTCAAAGTATTTACCCCACGTTCAGCTGCTCAACTCGTTCCTTGTTGTATTCTTGGCAGTATTTGCACCCCTTCTAAGTTTTGCTACTTTGTCAGGTTACAACCAAAGACGTGATTTCTTTAAGGCTTTCAATCATTCAACGTTTTAATTCCCTTTTTAAACTGTGTTAAGATCTTCTGGCTAACTATTTTACAGCTTAACCATGGCAACAGAGATGCACATACTTTTAAAAGTAATATTTAAACGTCGTTTTAAGTTAAATTTCCATCTCGGCTCGTATCTCCCGTCTCTTTCCTTAGCGCCGATACATCATGCATTCCTAGTAATATTTGAATGTTGATCTTGCAAAATGTGAAAAAGTTTAAACTCTATTAATGCTGATGTAAAAACAGAAGTAGTTCTCTTGTTGATGTTCGTACTTGGTATAAATTGATTGGAGGAACAAAATAAAACAAATCTGGAGGACAAAAACTTCCCCTGCAGCATCAACTGCATGATTGTTGAGGACGTAATCGGGGTCGAGTTGAGGAAGCGGGATAACCCAATGCGACCGGTTCGTCTTCTCACGGAGAAGAAAGGCCGGCGCTGATCTCGTGACCTCGCGGGGTCAGCTGAGCTTCGCTCCCTGCGGAGGTTCGCTCTTACGCAACCCGCAAAACGTGGCGCAGAGCCACGGGGTTCTGCTGCTTTTCCTGGCTACGACACGGCTTCGTGTTTCCTATTGTATTATAACTGCATGCTCTCAAGGAATAGTTCTGAATTTATAATTTGTTATAAAAGGCTGTCAGGAGTTCGTCCTGATCTTCATTCTGCACTGAGGCGAAAAGCTGAGAGATTATCCTAAAGAAACATGGGTTACTATTAGACAAAACACAATGTGCATCATAAGTTGTTTTTTCAGGTGTTAGTTTACCGTGTTAGTTGTTACAACAAAGGGAAGTGAATCATTTCTAAGCTGCCATGACTCTGACACCAATTAAAATCAGTTTTACTGACAGAAAGGGCAGCGCAGCAATTTTTCCGTTAGGTTGATGACCCGGAGTGTTTTCTCAGCTGCAGACAGAGAATGTCCACTCATTGGATCTTATCCTTACGGCCGCTAATGAATGCTTAAATTCGATTTGTGCAAACAATGCTTAACATTTCTGTTGCCACGATAACATTTGACTATCACATATCCATACACTGCAAAAAAAAAAAAAAACACCTGAAAATCTTACAAAATTGTTGGTGTCCACAGGCAGATTTCACTTATAACATCGGAAAAATGTCTTATTATAAGTGAGGTAATCTGCCAATGGAAATAGTACTTTTTAGTCAATATTAATGCCCCGTATCTTGCTGAAAAGTTACTTGCAAGTTAGTTTTGTCTCATTCCATGTGCACTAAGGTATTTGCACCAGAAACTAGACAGAAAATACTTGTTAAGAGTTTGTGTTTTTGCAGTGCATGGTTGCTATTTCATATCACAATAATTTAATATAGTCCTAAAGATAAAGACTGATTATCTGGAGTCGAGCTAAATTTAAGAAAATGAAATCAGATACTGATTCGTAAAGTTTTGTTCTTTCAGCTCCTGGTGAACCAGTTTGAAAAGCCGCTACAGCATATTTACAGATCCAGCAGGAATGCAGAGTTACTGTGACCCAGTGCTTTTCCATGGCTGCAGCAGCAGATCCCAGCTGTAGTCAGCTGCAGCATCTGCCAGCTGTTCACAGTCTGCAGTGTTTGAGGTTTCTGTTTCCTTTGTCCTGCATGAGTGGGAATGTTTTGTAAGTGAAATTTCTCTTCTTTTTCTAAGATTGTGTCGCTTCTTGTGTGAAGAACAATAATAAAGGCTCAGATTATGTTTGGGTGAGTTTTGTGGATTGCAGGACATGACAAGGGGCCTCCTTAGACAGAAAATAGCATTTCTATCTAAATAAAAATTAAAATAAGGAAATAATAATTGAAGCCAAATTTGGTCATTAAAAGTTTGCATAACCCTTTTTCTGTCAGTGTTGATCTTGGGGGAAAAAGCACAATTGTGTGAATTGTTTGATTGGTACAATGGAGCAATTTAATGTATAACAATGCTTCGCTACCTGCAGATATGGCTGTTGGATATCATGGAAATTCAAAAAGTCTGACTATATGTTTTCCAAATGTACCATATAAAATATAATTACATTTTATGAATGTATTTATTGATAGGTTTTGTTCTGGCTAGTGCTAAACAATTCTAAAAGAGTAAATGTTTTATTTAAAGGAGTTCCATCACATATATTCTTACATCCTTGCTTCTGCTGAGTTTTTATTGTTCATGTGTGTTTGACCATCATGGTGTCCTAAAGCACTGTCTTCCCTTCCTTCTTCTGTCTCCATGTAGGGTGATCAATGCTGGGAAGAGCACCTTAAACGAGGACCAGGCCTGCTGCGAGGTGCTCATGCTCAAACGGAGGCCTCTGGGGAGCTCAGGGCCAAACCGAAACCCCGCAGCCCGTCGGAGGTCTTCCCTGCCCAACGGAGAGGGCCTCGGCCTCCGGGACGGCAGCGTGAGTGAGACGAACAGAGATCTCTAATATGTCACACAAAGTCTCAAGATAAAAGTTCAGAGTTCTGTAGTCTGTGAAAGTGATCTCAAGTGATCCGCTCTGACGCGGACCAAAAAAGCGAACTGGTCCAACTAAAAACCTCGGTCTCGGTTCGGCTTGGTTCGAAGTAAACTGGCATGATTTGAATGCATATGTGAATGCCAAGCGGACAGGAGGCTGCTCCAAAAGCAGGAAGTGGATTGTAGCGTAGGGAATTCTGGGTAAATGCAACCAAAACATTTGCGCTTGTGGGTGAAAAAGACCATGGTCTTTTGCTCCAGAAAAAACTGGTAAAATTTTATGCTACTCCATTTTTGTTCACATTTTTCAAACAAGGAAGTTGTGCTCATGTCTTCTTCTGAGGTTTTAATGTCGTTTCCTTCAGTGGTTCTTGGTGCAGAGTTTGTTTTACAAAGGGTTTGGATCATTTGCCTCAGTGCAGTGTGGAAGTGAACCGCACCAGCTGAAAATGTAACAAATGTTGCAATTTTGGTCCGCAGTCAAACAAAGGTTACCAGATTACTGGGTGTGAAAAAACCCTAAAACATGTTATTTTTCAGTCGTTACTGCAGTAACTGGATAGCAGTCACATTCCTTTCAAAGCAGTGGTGTAAATATCTCCGAGTCGTGACGCACACGCCACAGAATCTCGTAACATGTCCCAAAAATCAGTAGCAATTTGACTCAGATTGGACGCATAGCAAGTCAATTCTGGCTATTGCAATGTGAGTGTAAGAGGGTTGAAAGCTACAGGAAGTACATAAAAGAAGTGGCTGGCATGACATCCATATATCAGTGGGAGTGAAACCGGTCCGCAGGCCCGACTGTCCCCTCAATCAGTCCAACACGCAGTTCATTGGAGCGTAGACCAACACGTCCTTTCCACATCCCATCAGCGGTCAGCAGCTCTTGCATGCGAATCAGCCCTGAAGTCTGATCTCGTTGCAGTCAGAGGTGCATTGTGGACAGAACTCCAAAAAGATGTGTATCATCCTGCACTAGACAGTCCTTGCTGTTTGTTTTTGTGGAGCAGCTTTGACAGATATTCATTGACTTGAGTTGACGCAGTCTCTGTTCTTCAGTTTGTCTGGTTTTGTAGCAACAGAAAAGTAGCCCTGCGTTACATTTTCTCTCAGTCTGTCCTTACTTCACACGAGATCGCCAGAAGCCAACAGCAAATGCATGTAAGAGCCTCTCATGACTCACTCCTGCAGTGCCTGCGGACCGATATGAGAACTGTAGAGCCTCTCTTTGCCTCCTGGAATCATGCTGTAGAATCTGCCTGTGCTATATTTAGAAAACCCTGCTTTTTGCTCTGTGGATAAACACAGAGCATAAAACTCAAACTACGGCTAGAGCACTCTGCGGTGCAAAGTCATGTTCTGTCTTTGAGGGCTGTGTAGCGCCAGGCGACTTCATTTCAGAGGCTGGTCTGTACCAGAACTGATGCGGAAACAGAAGAGTTTGTGTCAGAAGATCTTAGATTTACTGTGTTCTGTGAAGACGGCCGACTCAAAGGGTAACATGAGTGAGCCGCATCGCACAGGAGACTCTGTTCAAACCTTATGTGGGAGGCAGAGTAGTTGAAAAACTGACCAACCGATTCAGGACCATTTCTGAAGGTCTTTCAATTTAATTTGTTTTTCTTTAATAAGTCTGGAGTTCTGAAAGTTTGGCCAATTTCTTTTCAAATAATAATAAAAAAGAAACAAACTGCATTAACTGAGCCAGCTGTTTCTATGAGAAGTACTTTTCCTTGTTGGGACTTTATGAGGTAAAATTTGTAAAGTTCTGTATCCTCTGATGAGGTCGATTGCACTTGAACTTGACGGCAGCTGATGTGTGACACAAAATATCTTAAAGAAACAGAAACAAGTTATTTAAAGAGAGCTAACAACAACACCTTACCAAGCATGTTATTTAAAAAAAAAATCAGCCAAAATCCTGCCCAAAACCTCCAGATCTCTCCAGTAGGTCTGTGGAATGAAAGATTGACGATTACAAGATTTAAATGCTAAATTATCACTGATGTGACGATCATTGTTCTTCCTTGCCTCCAGGATGGCTCAGAGGATCTTACCTTTCACTACTGGGCGCTGTTCGACGGCCACGCTGGTTCTGGGGCTGCCGTCATGGCGTCTCGTCTTCTCCATCACCACATTGCGCTGCACCTTCAAGAGGTGATGGAGATTCTGTGCACACCCAACCTGCAGCCGCCCACTTGCCTGGACGAGGAGCCCGTCAATCACCTCCTGTCCGCAACGTCCAACCGCGCCCTGTCCAGGGCTGCGTCGCTACGAGGAGCCGCGGGCGCCCCGGGTTCGCCCAGCGCCCCGCCACCAACGCGCTTCTTCACCGAGAAGAAAGTTTCGCAAGAAAGCCTGGTTATCGGAGCCATAGAGAACGCCTTCAAAGACATGGTGAGTTTACAGGTTGATGACAAATGCATGTTGTGGTCCTGCTAGTGGAGTTTTCCTCGTCGTGAGTAGGAAGTCAGGTATTTAATTTACTGATTACTTTAAAGGAATGAGTGATGTCCCAATCACTATGATTGGAATTGACAAGTTAGTTTGAGCCAATATAACTGATGATCTGCAGGTCAGATCTTGATAAAGCAGAATTGTTTTTCCCGTATGGGAAATGCCTCTGAAAAATACCATGTCAATATTTTTTGCCAGCTAATTTCGCAAAACCATTTCAAACATCTTTCATGTGCACATCTGCAGCTGCGACCACTTAAACAACATATTGGAAGTTTAGCTGTTTGTCTGATTTTTCTGCTTAACTCTTGTGCGTGCGAGGACTGAGGCAAATGATACAAGTGATACAGGTGTGGGGTCAGTTGGACCCAATTTGTAAACACAAGGGTTAAGTAATTACATATTTCTAGTGTTGCACGTTGAAGTCCGACACCTGGCTTTCGGATGGATTTCCGATACAGTGTAACTTTCAGGTGATATTTTGTTGCCTATGGATTTAAAAGTATCAATAAATATGTTTTAAGGTGCGCCGACTCGAAGGGCAAATACTACATTTCGATATTCCAGCTGCACTTATAAACCCCTACAGCAGTAGATCGAGTTCTTCTGGCCTCCAGGAGCAGAAAGATGTGCTTCTTTGTTTTGGCCACTAGATGGCAGTGCACAGTAACGTTTTACCGAACCGGTAGTTCAGAACAAGATTGACGAAGATGACGAATTAATTCTTCGTGCTTGTTGAAAATGAGAACTAAAAAACTGGGTTGATTGGTTTGTTTGTGTTTGCGAGGATGATTTTGATATAATTTGCTCAAAATATATTAATCTATAGTGCAGTAATGTCATAATTTAAAGAAGTACAGTCAAATAAATAGGCATTTAGCATGCTGTCTTTCTTTCAGTTTCTGTCGTTTTGCTTCCTGTGTTCTCCATGTCGGGAGACATCAATTCTCCCCTCGCTGTTATTAGGTTTTACATTTTAGTTTCAGAATTCCAGGCAGCTTCAGGCTAAATTTAAGTTATTTTGGCTGGAAACAAAGCATTTTAACTTCAGTATTTTAAACATATTTTAAAGAGGCAATAAGTGCAAGGGAATGTATCGGCACAGTTTTGGGGTTTTCTCCACAGCTCTCAAGTTTCTGTGCAAGATTCACCTCTAACTCATACTTTAATCTATGTAATTTGATTTGATAAGCGCTGAGAAAAGTAAACCTAAAAAGCAGAATGAAGATGATTTCTGGCCTTTTTACCAATCAGCGTTTTATTTGGAGTTTATGTGATGGACCAAAAAATAATATTTCATAATTGCAAAGTGGAGGGAGAATGATAAAGAGCCCTAATTCATTTATTTATTTTTTTTCCACAAATAAAACCACTGAAAAATTGGGTAAACTTGGAAAGCTGACCGAAAAGCAAACATGTTAATTCAGCGGTCTGGCTATGTTCAGACCCTCAGGTCGGATCTGATGTCTGTGTTATTTTAGCAGCCTTTAATAATCTGGCATTTTCCAGTTTTCCACCAGACTTTCCTCGGGGCCGTCTGTCTTGCCTGTGTTATGTCTCAACTTTGACTAATTAGTGAAAAAATGATTAATTCAGTTAATTACCTGCCACTCTGTCCGCCGCCTGGGTTTTCCATCATTTACTGACAGCTGTTTCTCGCCTTTACGTGACATTTCTTTCCATTTCCTGCTTTTGGGGCTCGCAGCTTTTGGGTTTCTATCAAAGCTTCAGACAGAAAGAAAATGGCTTAAACGTTCCTTTGAGGGTACAAAATCCCACCTTAATGTAGAATCAACAAACTATGAAATATCAGATCAGCTCATGATTGGATTACTATGAAAATGTTCCATTTAACATAGAAATGCCCGGATCAGGGTTTTGCCTCCTGATACCGAGTTGGAAAACTTTTTGCATTTAATGAGCAGGAGAAAAAGAATCAAAATGTTCAGTGTTTAAGTTGTGAAAGCAAATCAACAGAGAAAATTTGCCAACATCAGTCACTGCTAACTAATTGGTGGAAATCAGTTCATAATCCTAAATGCTTTTTGTATGTTCCTCAAGTTCAGGGTCTTTTTTTTTCTCTGAGAGCTGGGATGTTCTTTTTCTCAATGTTTCAAAATCTCAGTTCGTCCCTGTATTAATAAACCATGATGCAGGCAGGTTATGAGCCAGTAGATGGATAAAAGTGGAGTTTTCTGGGAGTACTTCATGATCCGGAGCGTCTCTGTTGGACTCCTGCCTTCTTAAAGCGCAGTGAGCTTCTTTGGCCACTAGGGGGCCTCTCACATCAGGATCTGGGGAAGTGCAACGCTTCCTACCTCCCACATGGATCCAGTTGTTTACAATGTCACAGGGAGACAGAAGAAAAAGCATCTCCACAGTATGATGTTGCCACCACCGTGTTTAGCAGTGGGGATGCCGGGTTCAGAGTGATGTGCTTCTGTTGCATGTTTGCCACATGACTTGTGATCTGTAATATTGCAGTTTGCAGACTATTTTTGTATATTGCGATTGGGAACAGCATAATAAATGCAGATGATAAATCCCCATACCCAGTTTATTTTTCACAGGAACAACTTGACACTTGAAGCAGGCTGAATATTTGTAAAGCCTGACTTTGTTACCATCAGACGGCTAATCGATTAATCAGTTTTAAAGATTTGCTACATTCTGTAGATTTTTCATTCAACCACTTAAAATTTTTCTTATTAGAAATACATTAAAACATGCAAATGAATACCTTCGATTCTTTTTTTTTACACAAGAAAATAAATAAACATTCTGTTGCCTAAAATGCAACAGAGTGAGTCTTTAGTGAACGCTTGATCATTTTTAGCAAAGGATGCTGCAAAATACTGTGTGTGTGTGTGTGTGTGTGTGTGTGTGTGTGTGTGTGTGTGTGTGTGTGTGTGTGTGAGAGCTGTCCCTCTTGGTTATTTGTCTCTGCTGTCAAATTGTTCCTGGCTGAACTTGTGAGGATAAAGGTGTGGATGTCTGTGCAGCCGTTTCCATTATGAAAGCCTCGCCTGCAGCAAGAGGTGCTGGTGCTGGGATACAGCGAAGATAAATATGTATGGCTCACCGTGGATCCATAATTCACCCGGGCTGAAGGACACACTCGTTCACCAAACCACCACCACCTCCTGCCGACCTCTAACCCCCCAGGCGGTGGAGTTTTTGTCAGTACGGTGGAACCAAAACACACAGACGGCCTCCGTATCCGGGGGAACGTTAATGTGCCGTGACACACTCCTCATCTACCAGAGGTTCAGAGGGCGGTTCGCTCTAACTGTGTCGTGGGAGAAACACGGCAGTGCCGTCACCTGCTCTCCGAAGCATTTTCAGTCCTTCTCAAACTGCCGATAGTGACAGAGAGACGGGACAGAAACGCCCCGGGGGCCCAATTATATTCCTGGGACGTCTCTCTGCTTCTGTTTGGGAATGATTAAGGCGTCAGTGAGGGCTGACGAGGTAGCTGTGGCTCAGATATGTGCCAGTGTTTTGATTAGACCAATGGCAGGGCAATTATAGTTCTAATTAATAGACTGATCGTATGTGTGTTTTTAAAATTATTTTGGGATTAATTAGCATCATATTGATAAAGACTAATTAACTGCTGGAATAAGCAGCACTTTATGTAAACTCTCAGTCTCTGGATTCCCTTTATTCTGTTGCTGCTTGACTGAGACTGATGAATAAATGAACGAATGAATAAATTAATTACATGATAAACGCATAGAGGTAGTTTTAATTTTACAACAGCTGGGTTCCTACACAGTCTAGGAGAGGTTGGATTTCGTCCGTCCATCCATCATGGAGTTTTGACAGAAACTGTAGAAATGCTGACACAGAATGTTGATTGTTCAGCTTTAATTCTTCACTCTCTTTGTCTGAAAAATGAATGTTTAGCATAAAACAGGGAAACTTGTCCAAATGATGAGCTCACATTGTGTCTGTGATGGTGTGTCAGGACGTGCAGATCGAGAAGGAGAAGGCGTCCTTCAACATCTCAGGAGGCTGCACCGCTCTAATGGTCGCCTGTCTGCAGGGGAAGCTGTACGTCGGCAACGCAGGGGACAGCAGGTGCGACTCACGCCCTCCGACAAACCACGACGAGCGCTCATGTTTGCTTGCACTTCACCCAGCCATGTCTCCGTCCGTCCGGCTGAACAGAACTATGTCTGCTTCTCTCCCTCAGAGCGATCATTGTGCGAGCCGGGGAAGTCATTCCCATGTCCTCAGAGTTCACGCCGGAGTCAGAGAGACAGCGGCTGCAGTTTCTGGTAAGAAGGAACCGACCCAAGCTACTTTCTAGCAATTACAGCACAAGTTCTTTATCAAAGAAAACCCACCAGAGTCACCAACGTTCGGCTTTCACTCCTCCTGGACGAGCGTGTTGCGGTCAAGAGAGAATCATTTGCGTTGTGTTGTGGCCGTCTGCTACAACCAACTGGAGATTGGAATACAAAGAGCGCGCACACACACAAAAACACACACACGCAGACGCACTAATCCAACAGTCAGCTCCATTAGTGGCTTCATGTAGCTGAGCGACACAGCTAAACAGAAAAAGCTCCGAGCTGGTTTTAAAAGCAGCAGAATGAAAGAGTATATATAGTTAGTCGCAGTAAAGGTTCGGCCAATAGCTTTGCCTAGGAGAGAGGAGGGTTAAACACTGAAAGACGGGATACAGTGTGTCATCTGTGGAAGGAGTTGTTGGCAGCACAGTGTTAGCTAATCTCCCCCCTTCAGGAAGGTGTTGCAGGTAAACAGATGTTTGTTCTATGAAGAGTTCAAAACAAAAAGTTAAAATCTGAGAGTGTTTTCACAGCTGCTAGACCGGAGACGAAAAATTGCAACGTTTGTTACATTTTCAGCTGGTGCGGTTCGCGTTCCCACCTCACTGTGTCAACCAAACCAAACCCTTCACCTGTTCACATCCTTGCCTGCGGTGGCGCTGCTCCAAGAAAGGACATAAAAACCTCTGAAGAAGACATGATCTCAACTTCCTTCTTCTCAAAATGTAGACGAAAATACAGAAGCGGCAGATTTTAGCGGATGTTTGATTTCTTTTTTTGTCTTTCCTAAAAGATCAGAAGCCATTCCTCCCGCCAGTGCTAGGCTCTCGCGATTATTTTGGTTGTATTTACCCAGAATCCCCTGAACTATTGTCCAGTTCCTGCTTTTTTGACCTGCACCCTGAAATAACAGCAAAAAGAAGAAAAAAAAAGATCGAAAAATTAGACAGTAGTAGGAGAACATAGAATGGTCAGGAAAAGGAAATGGACCAAGCACTGAACCCTGTGGTACTCCACAAGTAACGCGGGAATCTAAATGTACATTTATCATTTACGTGACCGAAGTCGAATCTGTTGGACAAATATTTGTAGACAACAGAGGAAGATTGTAATGTATTAAGATATCTTGATTGTGAAAAGTATGTGTTTAGATAAATCATATCTAAAATCTGAGATCTAATCAAAGGCATCGATCGGCTACGGCATACAGGCTGAAGGTTTAGATGAAGCTACCGTCTCTGAAAGCTCAACTGAATCAAAACAGTTCAAACAAATCAGGTTTTGCGGTCTCCTCCGATGCGTCCTCATTCGCTGAATCATCTTCAAGGAGACTCTAAAAGTTTTTCCTGTCCCCGGTGCGTCTTCCGCTCTCTAAAGCTTTTCTCTCCTCTCGTTTTGAAGGCGTACATGCAGCCACACTTGCTGGGGAACGAGTTCACACACCTGGAGTTCCCACGGCGGGTGCAGAGGAAGGAGGTGGGGAAGAGGATGCTGTACCGGGACTTCACCATGTCGGGATGGTGGGTTTGCTTAAAGACTCGCCCATATAATGATTGTTCCTCAGAAGAGCTAGCTTACACTTCGATGAGGATGTGCAGAATTTGAGTACATTTATTCAAATGTGAGATAAATCCGAATTAGTTTAAATTCCTGCTTTTATTTTTCTCAAGTCGGTTCATTTTTCTCCGACCATTTAAGGATCCGTTACTTCGTATATAAAATTAGAAGGACGGAGCACAATGCAGACGCTCGTTCGTCTGGCCTCCGTCCAGTCAGGAGGACGAGGCGCTGAAGGCATCCTGGGGTTTCCATAATGGATATTAGATGCTATTTTTATGCCGTGCCATCTGTTTTTTTTTTTTTTTTTTTTGGGAGGAAAAAGCCACAGAGATGGATGTGAGGAGCCTAATCTCTGCTTAACGCAGGCAAGAAAAACCTAGAATTGGAATAATTTCCAGGATCTGGATAAGTTGGAGAGTTTTTTATTTCTAGATTTTCTTCCTTCTTTTCTGCAATACTTCCTCCCATTCTGCCCTTCCTTTCTGCCAGGTCTTTCCTTTTTTGTCATTCCGTCAGTGATTCTTTTTCCTCATTCCTTTTTTCTATCTTCCCTTTGTACTTTTCTTCTCTCCTTTTCACCTCCTTTTGCCCCTTCTATCCTTCCTTTCTTTGCTTCATTTTCTACTTTTGTCTTTCCTTCCCTGCTTTTTCTTTTCTCTTTTTCCTTCCTCCTGTTCTTCTTTATTCCATTCCTTCCATCTTTCCATCTTTTACTTTCCGTCCACATTGCTTTTCTTTATTCCTGTTTTCTTCCTTGGTCATTTCTTTTTGCTCGTCCCCTTTTTTCTTCCATCTTGACCTTGGCAGCAAATTCTCTGTGAACTTTGATACTTTGAGAAACTGAACCGAGTGATTCAGATTCTGGAAAGGTCAGAGTGAGTGTAGGAACTCTGACTGCTCATAGGTCGATTGCAAAACACGTTTTGTCAGATGAAACTATGATTAAACTTTTCGGATATTGTGCAAAACAAAAGATGAATATGCGGATACAAACTTTTTCCACCCTGTTAAGTACAGCGGAGAACTTGTGATGCTGTGGGCCGGCTCCTTTTCCACTTGTGATTCATGCTAACAAGGCCTTTTATATGCACTAGAATTGTGTAGTTAGATGCAGTAAAAATCCTTCCATAATATACGGTGTTTTCAAGGTGAGGACACCAGGAAGACAAAACTTCGTTCATCTTTGCTCGCTTTTCTGGAGGAGTGATACAAATTTTTTTTAGTGCTTTCTGTAAAAAGTGAGACACAGATGTGAAAATGCAGACAAACAAAGACCGCGGAGTGTGTTCCCCCTGCAGGAACACACTCCGCGGCAGAACGGAGGAGATGACGGGAGATGAGCGGGATTATTTCCGGCCCCTTCTCTTCGCCGCTCCCGTTCCGTGGCTTGGCTTCGCCTCATGTAGGTCAGCGTTGCCGGGCCCAGAGCTCTCCGCCTGCTCGTCGTCTCCGCAGCACAGACGTTTTGTGATGTATTTTTAATCAGGCTCTTCCCTCGACCCAGTTCTGCCGCAGCTTCGCCCAGATTCGGTCTGGGCTTCGACTTTAAAACCCCCGTAAGCTAGCGAGGTTGATTGCTTTGATGTGTAAGAGGCTTCGCTGTTTATCCCCCACAGGCTCAGTTCCTCCTAATGACTGTGAAGCTTTTTGTCTCTGGATGTGCGCTGCTCTCCTCTAACGCCTGGACGGTCAGATCTCCACTTTAGCGAAACCTCACTGACCTGCAGACGTCCTCGCTCACTCTCTACGCCTCCTCCATCTCTGCCAGTCGGGCCAGAGGGGTAAAAATCTGGCGGTGGAGACTTTTAACGGTTGTTGCTGACACAGGAACCGGGCGGTTTCGTTTGCACAGAATGATGGACGTTGACCGGTCGGCCGAGGCGAGGCGTCGGGTAGAAAGAAAACACGGGGAGGAGAGAGCGAAGGAAACCAAAACGCGAAGAAGTGAGTGGGTTGAATCAATCTCCAAAGACGGACAAATGTAAAGCTGGAGATCAAGGCACTCAGAGGAAGGAGGAGAGTCGGAGATCGTTGACGGGATTAGTCTGGAGTCCGAGTGAGACCGGGGAGGCCACAGAAACAACCCACAGAAAAGAAAGAGGAGTAAAGAAATGTCAGCAGAATGACGGCTCAGGTGGAGTTAGGTGAGCTTCTGGTTCAAGACTGCAGAACAAGAACCAGAACATGAAGAGGTTCTGTTCGGTTTTTACGCGCCACAAATCTGGAACAAACTTCCAGAAAACTACAGAACTACCGAAACGCCGACTTCCTTTAAGCCAAGACTTGTTTAGATGTGGATTATTCAAAACTATAACGTTACTCAGCAAATCCGATGACAATTATTCTTGCGTGTTGCTTGTTTCGTGATTGGTGACTGTCTTATGATTTCATCACGTAAGGCGCTTTGAACTTTCTGGTTGCTGAAACGCGCTTTACGAATAAACTTGACTTGACTTTAAAAGGGGTCCCTGGAAAAAAATAACCAGAAACGCAAATGATTGATGAAAGATCTCTTCCATTTTTGAGTTTCCTCAGCTTTTAAATGATCCTTTCATTCATAAAGGGAGAAAGAAGCACTCCTAGCCAACCTGACTCTGGGGGAGAAGAAAACATGGCCTTTGCTAAATCATGAATTTCCTGTGATTAAAGAATATTTTTGTACTCAATTTCACTCAACCCTGATTACTGCCAGATTTGTAAATTCAGAAATCATTCAAATGTAACCGGTCTGACAACATGACGGAGGCTAAAACTGCTCAAAATGCAAAATGTCCTGATCAAACAAATTCAGGAACTGATGAGAAACAGCATGGCTGATGTTAATCAGTCTGGAAAGGTCAACAAAAAGTCACGTGTAGAGCAATTTGGACTCAAATTACTCCAAGAATTTTGATACCTTCATGGGCTGTCAAAATTACCCCAATGACATATAAATGTCTCATCTGTGAGGTCACAGTCAAACTCACAAGTGGATTCCTAAATATTTACGGGAAAATAAGGATACAGGAGCATGGTGGGACTTAATGTTCCCGGCCAAAATGGGAGACTTGACAGATACTCGGTATGATACAGGTGTTGTGCGTTTGGAGAACATTAGAGAGCATCATGAAGACCAAAAAACACAGCAAACGGGTCAAGAAGAGCTGGAGCCATTTTGCTGTGGAGGCAGAAAGTTTCTACCTCTAGCAGGGCCGAAATGATGAATCGGATTAATCGTGTTGAGTCGCTTATTGAAATAATCATCAACTAATTTGTTATTGATTAACTCGTTAACGCAAAAAAACACTGAAAGAAAAACATTACTAGTAGTAATTAAATGGTAAAAGGTGGATTATTATGGGTTAATATTCTAATCCATAAATTAACCAGATCAGTTGTGGACTGTATTGATATCAAATCAAGCAGGAAAAGCTGATTTATTTATTTATTTAGTTTTATATATGTTCATGTTAGAACGTTAATGTTACAAATGATCAAGTTTAAACGAACCCTACTTCACTGTATTTTAGGCAAAAATGTTTCTTTCATATAAAAACAAGTAATTTAATTATTTCATTATTTGCACTTTTTAAAAACTTATTTCTAATATTACATAAAAAGGTTTAGATGAAAAATCCAATCCAATTTTTAAAAATCCAATTAATCACTAGAATAATCCACAGATTAATCAGTCAATAGCTAAACTGATCTAATCTCCCGATGGTAGAGGCCGCCTTTGAACGCTTTGTGTCGTATTCTGCCGCAAACTTGGCAGATGTGCGTCGAGTTTGTGCTTCTTAAACGGAAACGTCGAACAGACATGGCACTGTAAGATGGAACGGTAATTATAATGGAGTAGATTTTAACTAGATGTAATCCTCTCTCCCTCCGGCCCGAAGTCGCCCACCGAGGAGACGGTCAGCCCTCCTCCCCACTCAGCCCACCTCTTGGTTAGTTACGCGCTGCTGTGGCCCGTGGGGTGTGAAAACGCTCGGTGTTGTGGTCGGACTGACTCCCCAGCTGCTCAGCAACTTGTGCTGCTGGTTTTCCGCTCGGTGAAGGGATTGTCAGGGTTCATCTCGCAGGACCCACGTCTCAAACAGGACGCCGTCCTCAAAAAGCTCTCCAGGGAAGCTCCTCGTTGAGGGAGTCTGTATGAAACTGACACGTTTAAGTGGAAAAATTCGGTCCTTTTAAAGTAGATAATGTCAGCCTTACGTAACGTATACTTTTTCCTTTTTTGCTCGGAGCAGTCTCAGTCTGTTGCGTTCGCCTTGATGGCCTGCGCCGCTCCAAGAACTGCTGAGTGCAGCGTTTTTAGCGCTCGCCTGAGGTGGAAACATATGGCCTCTCTGAGTGAAACCAGCAGTGATGTGAAAACCATCCCGGTCTTGTGTTTCTGAGCAGCTGAAATGCATTCGGTATGGGGAGGGGGGAGGCTACGGCACGGTGTAGTTTCTTTATAACAGCGAGGCCCAAACTTTCCAGCTTCTTTTGACCCAAAAAACTGGAATGACCCAGAGTCTTGCTCAAGCGTAAATGCATTTTTGCCGAGGCGGTTAAAAACTGGTACGACGACGACTCGATTATGATCGACATGTTGCTTTTATTATGTGAATGCTGTGAGGCATCGGATTTTTCTGGTTGCTAATTTTTGGACTTTTAGCGATTTTTATATTTCTAAAACGTTCTGCTCGTTCAGAAAATTCTGCCTCTGACTTTTGGTATTGATATCCGCTACGTTCAATGATATATTAAGCTTTCTTTGATCATTAGAAATAAATGGCACATCTCATAAATTGTGCCAGAGCTTTGTGCTCTTTTACAGCTGAGCTGCTTCCACATACTTTAAATTAGAAACAGCATTCAAAGTTTTTAATGTAGTCGTGCTCTTTGGCTACTACTGCATGATTCAGATTTTTCATATCTTTTACAGTTTTCTCAACATCCCTCTTCAAGTTTTTGGTCGCATTATGCTCATTTTTCAGAAAAGAAAAAAAACGTGGGTTGCTCTGGTTGCTAAGCAATTGAGCCACAGTGATCCACTCTAGCTTTTTGAGAATCCACAGGGTTCCCAAACAAATGATTCTTACTCACTCACATTTCAACATGTTCCTGTTGTATTTAATATGTGAAATGGAAAGAATACATTTTTACTGGCTTGTATTGCCGATTATCTTTATGTTATGTTGTTTAGCAGATGCTTTTATCCAAAGTGACTTGGATAACAATGCGCTTAATGTCAAAGCTAACATAAAGCTAATTCAACCCCTAGTTGGGTTCTCTCAGGTGACAGGCCTTAGCTTAAGCAGTTAGCCGACATGCTAATGTTATTATTTTAGCTAATGTTAGCGTTTTAGCTTGTGTTAGTGTTGTACATTTTGACATGCTACGTTTTAGCCAGTTGTTAGTATAAGTAGATGAAGTAACTTCCTTGTGTTACCTAACAATAGCGTGTTAGCTAGCATGAACATTTATTGTAAAAAAGAAAAGGTGGTTATGCTAGTTTCTTATCCTGCGTCCACCCGGGCAGTCGTGATTCTAGAGCTGGAATCAACGCGTCCTCAGCCTATAAGCACGCCCCTGCCGTAAACCATAAGAAAGCCATTAACGTGTCGTCTTTCTCCTGCTCAGGGCGTATAAAACCATAGAAGACGATGACCTGAAGTTCCCTCTGATCTACGGCGAGGGGAAGAAGGTAAGCGTTGCTCGGCAGCCACTCGCTGACAGTTACTTCCGCGGCCGTGAAAGCCTCGTCTGTAATCAAACCTCTCAGTCAGCCCCCATCCTGCCACTGTACGGGGCAGCAGGACTCATTAGTGGGCCTGTTTTCCCAACATCAGTTGCCACCTGACAGGACAGTGTTTATTTACTTGGGAATAATGTAACTGGAAGAGAGCCAGAATGAGAGGACTTTCATGTGTACTGCAGAGAAAAACCAATGAAATTTGAGAAATGTGACTTATGTTTCGCCTATGTGGGTTTATACATGCATCTAGGCCATTTGAACTTTTTGTCAAATCACAGCCGAAAACTTTAATCAATTTGTTTTCGGATTTTATGCCATAATTCGGAAGTTCAAGAAAAGATAGTTGTTTTTTTTTTTTTTCAAAATCTTAAATCTTGTGTTCAGTCCTGCTTTGTCGATGATTTGCAGAACCACCACTTTGTTCTGAAGCACCTAAATAAACTCCAACTACTTCATTTTTGAAGAGATTTAATTAGTAAATGTTGTCAGCCTGCGTTTAATCTAATCTTCCTATAAAAAGTTTTGTAAGGACAGGTTTTTTTTTTTAGGAAATTTTGATCAACAAAATGACCCAGGGATTTTAGGTTTATTGGAATATGACAGTGGTGTCCCCAAAAGGTGGGTAAAAGGGGGCCAGAGCCCCACTGAAAAAAAAAAGCTGCCTACCTCACTTGCCATGTTAAGTTCATTCAAAGGCATAGAGAGTCATGTTGATCAATCAATACATCAATATAATACCCAATATTTAAAACAAAATATACATAAATATATTGAAAAATAATCCCTTAGCATTGACTGAAAAGTACTACTTCCACCGGCAGTTTATTTCACTTATAAGTATATTTATTTATTTATTTATTTTACTTGTGTGAGCCTAAGATTTTTACTTGTCACCCCTAAGAAGATTTTTGTTGCAGCGCTACTAGAAAGAAAACCTTAAATAACAAAAGTATTGAGCAATTTTATCGGTACTTTGGCACAGAGATTAAAAAAACATAGTCATGTGATCATAACATTGTTCATTCCCCGTTGGTTTTCCCTTCAGGCTGTGACGTTGTGAGTACAGTGCAGCGTCATGTTTGAGATGTGTTGAAAAGGTCAAAGCCAGACGAGACAAATGTGAATCTGCTGCTTTAGCCGCTGCTTTGAAAGACCACAAAAAATAGCCATATAGTATATGATAAGTTTACATTTGTATTCTCGAAGAATTTGTTTAAAATTTAATATTCCTAAATAATAAACGACCACTGGCGACTTAGTTCCTAACTTTGTGGTCTGTTCTTTTTTCCGCGTAATTTATCCTGACCGTCAAAAACCAGATCCAAAGCTTTGATAATCAGTTCACGAGTAAAACGTTTCCTGGACGGGTGAGCCTTTCTCTGACAGTAGAGATGGCTCTGAGGTGTTTTAAGTTTTAAATTTTTTCCCTCAGAAAGAGGCCGTAATATGAGGAGATTAAGGAAACGAATCCCAGAACGTGGCCAAGTAACGTACATCTCTGATCCTTTTGCAGGCTCGAGTGTTGGCGACCATCGGCGTCACGAGAGGCTTCGGGGATCACAACCTGAGAGTTCACGACTCCAACATTTACATCAAGCCCTTCCTGTCCTGCTGCCCAGAGGTATGCCGATTTCCCACGTCTCTTATCATTTAGAGCGCGTTAGCAACCTGTAGAGTCAGGCCGATGAATCACCTCATCAGTTTGTAACTACCGCTGTGACTGTGGAAGAAATCAACTTACTGGAGGAACATGTTGGATTAAATTTTTTATTTTTTACTTTTGTGTGTGACAAATTAAAATCAGAATTTTCTTCTTTTTTTTTTGTAGCCCCATTCCTTTAAAAATAAAACTTGTGTCAAGGTAAAATTGTAACCAACCAGTCTCATAATGAAAACAGATTTTTTTTCATTATGATAATATTAACTTACATAATAACATTAATACTGTCTGTCATGAATCCTTGTGACTTCATGTTTTGGTGCTTTAGCTGTTCTCTGAGTGTCTGTTATCAAATTCTCAGATTCAATTTTTCAGATTTTTGAAAAACAATACTGTACTGACAGGATGTGCACTCATTTGATGAAACATAATACCCAAGGTAACTACGGAGCTACACTGAGACCAGAAAATTGGTTAAAAAAAAAAGAAGAAGAACCAAAACTTGAATCTGAAAAGTATTTTTGGAACTTTTGTTTAACCCTCCTGTCCTCGGGTCAAAATGAGCCGAGTACAACAGGAGGGTTAACTGTTTTTTGTTTTAAAATATTTTTAAATTTCAAATTTTTTTTCACTTTCAACATTTTTTTTTTTTTTACAAAATCTGTGGCTCCAAAGTAGCTCCATAAGTACCAATTAAAAAGGCCCTTTTGTATTGAAGAGTGCATTCTGGGAGACGGACTCTAACCCTCCCCACAGTCCTCTCCCCTCGTAGCAACGACTGCACATGACCGCATTAGTCACCAACGTTGTGAACTCTCGCCGTCCTCGCTGCACTGCTGCCGGGTTCAGGCGCAGGTCACGCCTCGTTCATCTGCGACAAGTTGAGACGCTTTAGTGAGGGAGGTCGTTCTGAAGAATCAGAATAACGTTTTAATTGGCACTTAAAAACAGTCAGCATAAAGTGTTCAGGTTGACCTTAAATTGTTAATGTTTTTTTTATATTTGAGTATAAAATTCAATCTGACTCTTCCAGAGAGCATTCTGCTGCCGTATTGAGAAATCCAGGAATTATTGGGTCATCTGTGTTTTGTTCTGGGAAGCCTGACTGAAGTCATGAGGTTTACTGTGTAACCCAGACAGAGGGCCGTCGGATTTCTTTAGTTATCCTCACAGTGGCTCTTTTCCCAGCAGCCTCGGCTGCAAGGTCATCTGTCTGCTGTGACCCTCCCACTGTATCAGAGGGACAAAGGTCATGTGGGCAGAAAGTTTACAGAGTTAAAATCATTTTCTTTTTTTTTTATAAGGCTCCCATTATTTCCCATACATGAATTCATAAACTGAATTCAGAGGTGTTTGGAAGCTGTGCAGCATGCTAAATATGATACTTGTATGCAGTAGGATCCCCCAAAGGTCTTTTAGTTTTTATCATTTTAAAATTAAAAAACATTGACACTTTAAACCTTTTACCAGGGATGTCCAAAGTGTGGCTCCTGGGCCCTTTTGCAGATCTTGGAGTGATTTTGTGCAGCCTTCTACAATTTAGGAAATTATTTAATTTTTTTATTTATTTTTTTATTTTTTTTTGTGGGGGCTTTGGAAATTTTCACTGACAAATTTAACTCTTAAAATTGAAAACGCAAGAATATTTTTCACTTAATGTATTAGTAGACTGGTGCACAAACATCCAGTGATTTTTATCTATTTATTTATTTTTTCCAGTTTTTTTTTTTTTCCTCAAAAGCAACCTTGGACTAAACACAGCAACTGTTTCTGAAGACAATCTGACCTGTAAATCATTTTTCATGACTTCAACATGCATCAGTAGGCATTAGAAGCATGCGTTGTTGTTTGGTGGTTTGAGCCAAATTTAAGACAATATCTCCACCGGACATAATATGGGAAGGAAATCCACTCAGGTTATGTTATTACTACGGGAAATAACATAATCTTGAGCTTGTTTACTGTATTTCTATTGAGTTTTGTTATAAAACTGCTCAATCTCCACTCTTGCCTTTCCCCCCCTCGTCTGCCTCCAGGTCAGAGTTTACCCCTTATCGCAGTTCGAGCACGGAGCAGATGACGTTCTGATTCTGGGAACCGACGGCCTGTGGGACGTCCTCTCTAACCAGGAAGTGGCTGAAGCGGTCACCGGTTTCCTGGCAAACTGCGACCCAGACGACCAGCACAGGCACGTTCTTCCACCCCTCCCCTCCGTGCCCCGTCCTGTCCCGGCCCGACCCGACCTGACGCGAGCGCAGCTGCAGCCAGTCAGGCCTGAACTCCTGCTCACTCAAAAAACATTTCTCTGCCATCTTTTTAGACTACTCCTCTAAGCTTAGCTTTGCCCTTTTAACTTATTTTTTTAGTATTCAATGTGATTTTTGTATTTATTTATTTTGTAAAACAATTGTATTTTTATATTTTTAACAGGATATCACCTTAGATGTCAAACTCTTTTTCATTTTTGGCCACATCAAGATCATGAATTTTCTTAACGGACTGGTTTTGCTAGAGAATATTGATAAAAACCAGTTAACAAACTGTTACAATATTATTAAATAGATGTCCGCATTCGTACAATTAGACAGTATTTTTTTTTTTGTTCCTGTAAGATTTTCCGATTGTTTTTTGCAATATTTTCTATAATCAAAGTCGCTAGTTTTGGGGTGGTGATTGCGCTAATGCAATCACCCCGTATCGATTGAATAAGGCCGAGACAGCAGACTAGTAGAAGTAAGAAATACTGCCACCTGCAGGTGGGAGTGTGCAGAGTTTGGCATTAACTTGGTTACATTTACTCCAGTAACTTTTTGGCAAAATAGCTCTTTCAGGAGTAGTTTAAAAGTGCTTTTTATTTTTACTTGAGTAATTTAATTACAAGATAACGCTACTCCTATTTGAGTAAAATGTCTGGATTGCGAGAAACTCCACCAAATAAAGAACAAGCTTGTTTTAACCAAAACGTCATCAGACACACCGTTTTTGTGTAAAATCTACGATAAACTTGCAATCATCCATTGGTGCGAAACAGTGTGAGGATCTGTCGATTTTGAGTGAATTTCTGCTGTCACAGAATCGCAACAAACAGTCGGATTGATGAAATTTGGCAGTAAACGGATAAAAACCACAATGATTTGATTGATAAGATCATATTTAAGCTCACACATTATCTGGAAGGTTCCATCTGCGCGTCCCGCCCAAGTCTGGAGGGCCACGTCAGACGCTACGGCGGGCCGGATGTTGGCCCTCGGGCCTTGAGTTTGACACACCTGCCTCACGGCGTGACTACGCAGCGCTTCACTAATCGCGTCTGCTTTGACAGGTACACAATGGCCGCTCAGGACCTGGTCATGAGGGCGCGTGGGGAGCTGAAGGACCGCGGCTGGAGGATAACCAACGACAGACTGGGCTCCGGAGACGACATCTCCGTCTACATCATCCCCCTCATGTACGGGAACAAGCAGAACTAGCAGAGGAACAAGAACTGCAACCCAAAAGTTTTCCTCTTTTTTTTTTTTTCGTCTTTTTTTTGTTGTTGTTGTTGTAAAGACGTGCAGATTTCCGGGAGGATCCGAACCGTTTCTTCTTCTCCGAACTTGGATTTCTCTTTGGTGTAAAGAAGAAAACGAGAAACCAGACAATGAAAGGAACTGCTGATGACTTTAATTATTATTATTTTTTTTCTTTTTTAAGTCTCGAAGAAGCCATCTTTAACTTGGACTCTCTGGCGGACGGTGCAGTGACGTGCGTCTCAGGACCGCTATTACTTCACGATGCACAGTATTTATAAATGTGATGCGTGTAAATACCAGCACAGCGTTTGACAAAAGTGGGATTTGTGGAATATTTGTATGATGCACGAGGAAAGAAAAAAAAAAAAAAAAAAAAAAGGTCTTGGCACTGAAATGGAGAAAAATAAAATGTCAAATGATACGGACTCCGTCAGCCAGGCCTCAGTTAGCGTTTTGGTGAACTAGACTTAGCAGAACTACAATTCCCAGCCCGGGTTCGACTCTAATCAAAAAAAGAACAAAAGGCCTCTTTGTGTTGCACTTTGAGAACTTTCTGTCTTCCTCTTCCTCATTCCTTTGACTAACAGGTGCCTCCGACACGAATTGATCAAATGTTTTCTTTGTTTTTCATAAACTACTTCTACATGACGCCCATAGACGCTGACAGCTGAGTGGACAATCACCTTCCATGTCTCTACAATCACTATGTTGTCAGATCCTGTGGTTTTTCCGTGTTTTTGTCCAGGCTGAGTCTTGTGAGTGCAACGCAGTACAGAGGAACTTCAACTAAAGTGCCTTGCAAAAGTATTCACACCCCTTGAACCTTTTTGAAATGTTACAGTCACACAAACTTCACTGTGTTTAATGGTGATTTTTATTATTTTTTTTTGTATGTGTGTGCTAAATCATCACATATCAGAGGATATGTGGACATAAATTTTCACCTCTTGCCACGTATTCCCACTAATATTTAGGTCTGGACTTTGACTAGGTCGTGCTAGCTCCAGTCTCAAGTCTTAAACTGTTCGTGTTCGTTTTGCCATTGTTGAGCATGTCGAATATTTTTTATTTATTTACGCCGACAGCAAATTGCTTCTGAAGCTAGTCGGTGGCTGCTTAAGTTTCATTTTGGCTTATGGAGAGTAAAACATATCGAAAAACATGTTTGATATATTAAGTTTGTGTTTGAAATGTGACCAAATGTGAAAAAAGAAGTTCAAAGGGTGTGAATAGTACTGTGTAGCACCAGTGTTTGTGTTTTGTTTTTTTTCCTCCATATTTTTATTTTATTGTTTTGTGTTTAGATCTCGTCTTGGTGTTAGCCGCTGTGTACGTTGGTGTAAAACGCAGAAACGGTGTCGATTCATTCAAATGTAAATAAAAACTCCAGCTGACGCTCTTCTGTTGACGAACCAAAACATGCAGTTTGTAAGATTTTTAAAATCAGAGGAAAGTTTAAAAAAAAAAAAAAAAAAGGTTCAACAAATTAAAAAAAAAATCTCAATAAAACAAATTGTTCTGGTTCTTTGGTGTTTTGCAGTCTCAACAGATGAGTTGCTGGTGGACAGGAGCTTGTTGGGTTCTGCTGTCGTTTGGGTTTGTGTTCGGCCCGCCTCACTTAACTCTCACACGTTCACGGCTTCTCTGCAGGAGCTCCAAGGACCATCTGGTCCCGTCAGAACCAGCGCCACATCCGCCTGCAGTCAGACCAGCACTGATCTGGCACTCTACTCCTACTCTCAACGTGTGTGTAGGTGTGTGTGTGTGTGGTCCAGATTGGATGACGGCAGCGATGACACAGTCACTGCTGTGGGTGGCTTATTTTTTCCAAGGTCACAGCACTCCCACCCCACCCATGTACGCATCTGAAGTGAGATGGAGAGTGGGGGATAAGCGTTTCACTCCCTAGAGTGAGACGTTTATTGATTTTACATGAAGAAGCAAAGCATTACCTCACTGCGTTTTTTTTTTTTTTTCCAATCATGTTTTTCAACCCAGGATTCAATTTGGTTTTTGCCACAGACTAAAACTTTAGGGAATCTGCAGCCGCCTGTGTGTGAGCACACATGGCAGGGGCAGTAGCCCAGGATGCCAAGGATTTTGGGGTGTCAGTTTTTTATTTTTATTTTTTTTTTTTATGAGTTCATAGTTTGAGTAAACTCATAGAAAACTCACAAACCCGTATGAAGCTAGGTGTTTAAAAATTGTTGGATTTTATTAGCACAATATTAAATCAATAGTATTGGAAGAATATAAATTCCTAGTCCACCATATAGCATAACGCATTGATTAGTACACACCGACGTGTTGGTCGACTTTTCTGTAATTTGTATGTGTTAAATACGTTTTTGGTGGATGGGGCACCAAAACCGTCTCCGGTCCTGGGGCCCCCATCCTTCTACGTCCGGCCCTGGACATGATGGGCGTGGGCTGGCGGTGGTCCCATCTGGGGAAAATGGTCCGACTCCTTCAGAAGGCACAATTTCCAATTTGCAGTTCCTTGCAAAAGTGTTCCCATCCCTTTGACTTCGACCCACAAACTCTATTGTATCTTATTTATTTTATGTGACGGTTTAGAACAGATAAACACAGGATTGCTGAAGGGGAAGGAAACTGTTTTACAAATAATTAGGAAAGTGCAGAGAACCAGCAAACATCCAAATTTATTCACATTTACCAAAGCAATTCTTGAAAGCTTTACTTTCTTGACTGTAAGAAACTACAGTGAGCCACATTTAATGTCTTTGCCAGCAGACTAGTAGTAACAGAAGGAGCCACTGCTTCAACAGTTCAGCCTACTGCTGCACTGTTTAAATGTAATTTTTTAGTGGTAGTAATAATGTAAAAAAAAAGGTTAAATAACAAACCTGCCACTCAATTTCAAATATCAGTAGCAGAAAAACAAGCATCAGTCAACCTGAAGGCTGTTAATTAGGTGACATCTGAAGAGAAATGACTGTACAGACTAATTTAATAAATTAAAAATGCGATTGAAAAGCCAATTTTTTTAAATGAACTTTATCAAAGTGAAACATGATGTAGACTAATTTCACACAGGTTTGAAAATCTGTATTTGTTGTATGATTATTTTTCCACAGAAATTTGGACTTATCGAAAAGTGTTTCTCTGCTAGCGGGTTACTTTCAATCCGAGACTCATCAGTGTGCACATATTCTACTTTAATGAATATGAATGCTCTTTATTTTATTTAGTCATGATGAAGGAGGCTTCGTATAAAAACACACCCTTAATGTTTTTAGTTAGTTGCTGAAAAACATTTTTCCCCCCCCACTTGACCACTTTGTGTTGGTCATTCACGTGAAATCTAAGTAAAATACACAACGTCTCTTGTCATAACACGTACATATGTGTGATTTATGTGCAGCACGGCTCAGGTGCAGCTCAGTGATCCATTGGCTGCGTCTCTCTACAGCTGGAATATGACACCCACACCCAGAGAGCCTGCATTACTCACATGAGAGAAACCTGTTGGAGCTTTACGCAACATCACTAATGACATCCAGTCTTATTCTTAAACCGGAGAGCTGCAATCATAGACCAAAAAAACAGAAGCAGAAAACGTAGCTACAGATTGCAGCAAGCATGAGCTCCTTACTGTAGGATTTATTGTGCAATTAGAGCACAGAGACGCTGGACGAACACGACTCATAAATATTTCACAGTTGCTCCTTTTGGAAGGTCAAAGCAGGAATCATTCTTCCTCTGCGAGGGTCCTTTTACTCAAGAAAGCAGGGGGCCCCCCTTTCCAGGAATCATCGACCCAGGCTTCCAGCCAATCAAAGCTCCTCACACGTCCCGCTCCCCACCCCCGTCAGCGGACCAATGAGCGGCTGGATGCTGCTGGGCAGCAAAGGGAGGGTCCCAGAGGTTAACAGCGGAGCTGCTTCCTGCTCAACTGAGGGGGAATAGGTGGGGTCAGGTCACTGTACTGGAGAGCTTTGGGCTTTTTCTTTTTGGGGTGGTGGGGATTAAGGGAGATCCGCCGAGGCAAGACGCGTTCAGATCTGAGCGGGTTGTTCTGGGAGTCAGAGTGGATTTAGTGAATGAGCGCCGCTCACTCTGCCCTGATGGTGATGGTATGCAGCAGCGCTGACAACAAAGGACACCCGGGGAGAGCAGATGTATTGTGGGACACCTCAGTGGGAAGCGCGAGCCACGTCACGGCTCTCCACATAGCAACAGCCCTGCTGACCTACATGCCTCGTTCCCACACGGTCCAGCCGCCGCGCGTGGGGCTGCAAACCAGAACAAATACTCCCACAGTAATATTACATTTAGAAAAAATACTTGAATTTACACGAGGAAAGATGAAAAACTACATAAGACAGAGCTCTTGTGGTTTGTTTTTTTTCGTACTTTTTTTTTATTATTAATAAACACGTAACACAGTGAGAAACACGACACAGTTCTGAGATTGTTTAGAGGGAAAAAAAACAACACAAAAGCAGTTACATTCCTTATTTTTACATGAATTAAAACCCCTGTGAGTTTCAGCGGGGTGTGTTACCTGGGAGAGCCGCTGACCGCGTTACAAGATGCGGGGACTTTCTGTTCGTCCTTCGGCTGAAGCGGAGGCACCAGCACTGGCAAGGCAGTAGCTTGCGCAGTCATCTCCATAGCGGGCAGTGTCTCAACCCAACCAACAGCACAAACTACTACCTCAGCCAGTAACGTGGCCTAAAGGCGGACGAAAAGCTGGACGCCGTAAAAAATTTAAGAAGGAAAAGAAGAAGAAAAAAAAAAAGTCGAGCAGTTTCGAAAATCCCTTGCAGTCGAAGATGTCCGTGCACTCCTGCCTCTGTCCTCTACTGAGCCGCACACTTGAACTGGGAGGGAAACCCCGCCCAAGCAGACCTGCCCTCATCCTCACTTCCCCTCATGTGACCTGTCGATGGGAGACCGAGCTACGGCTGCCAGAGTTCAGAGGAGGCCATGAAGCTGCAAACGTGCTTTCTCTTCAAAATGTATGTTAATCCCCCCCCCATGCTTGTGTGGCGAAAAGGGGATCACCACACCCATTGATATTCAGTGTATTGGTTTAAATTAAATACCTAAGAAGATGAATGAATGCAGTCTATCTCGTCATACCAGCTACCTGAAACCTAAATGTTCTGGTTGCGAAATGACGAACCAATTGACGATCCACTTTAGAAAATCTGTAGATTAACGCGTTTGGTTTTAAAATATTTGAGCCTATTTCATGTTCATGTCTGACAGGTTTGTATTTCAAGTGGTTCCATGATTCTGCAACTCCTTCTCACAAAAAATGTGGTTACACCAAAGCTAATTCGTAATCTAGCAATTGGATAATTATGTTTTCACATAGTACCATGTTGGTTTGGATGTCTTGTTTCCCTTAATTTAAATCACCATAAAAAAAAAAATTAAAAAAAAAAAAACTTTCATACCTACATGCCCCCGATGACATCACATCAGGCATGAGATACCAAATTAAGGTCCTTTTTTAGGCCCCAGCAGCTAAGCACTGCAGCTTTAATTTACTTAAATACTTTGTCAACACTGTATATTCATCCTTCTGGTTCACATCATAGTAAAAAATAAAAAGAAGAAATGTGTAGGAAACAGATGAAGTGTTTCCCCTGAACATGCCTTGTAATGAAGCAGACAGCCGATTGGAGAAATGTCCCGTTTATTGTACAGTCATGTACATCCCTTTTCACACGGCTGGCTGAAGGCGACATGGAATGTTAAAAGATTTGGGGATGGTTTTTTTTTATTTGCATAAAATTTTGCAAGAACTTCATTGCTGGAAATGGTGAAAAAACCCCAAAAAGAAATCTGGGTTTTTCATTTGTACTATCAGTTTCTGCCTTTCTTTTCCTTAAGAACATAATCACTGTACATCAATGCGGCGTCTTCGCAAGAATGAAACAAACCAAACCCAAGAGCAACACTGCAACTTTCTCTTTTATTTTTGTAGTCGACAGGCAACTGCAGCCAGCCTGAAGGTGAATGGAGGCGGAGGGGTTTAAGTGTCATTAGCTCATATGAAAAGCACACAATGATGCATGTTAAGTCTGGAGTCGTCCGGCCTTCTCTGCGGGGTGGGGGGAGCTGCTTCGCGTCGTCGTAAATGGAGTTCAATGTCCAAGCACTTGTGAAGCACCCCGGGATAAGAATCCAGATTCAAGATTTCTTCATTATTATAAAAACAGGGAGTGTGAGAGTAAGTCCGGTCAGGACTCTCCGTTCTGGACTTTGGAGATGGGCGGCTGCATAAAGTCTTTAAAGGGCCCCAGGGCCTCCTTCAGGGCTGCGCTCACCTCGGACGAGGAGCAGGTGATGCACTGTACTAACGTGGGGTACAGAGCGATCACCTGAGCCCACGTGTTGCCATCCACTGCATGAAGGGAAAAAGAAGAAAGATTAATAGGCAGAAAGTGGAAGGATGTCTTCAGGCACGGTGAGGAAAATACCGTTTTCTGGCAGAGTCTTTTTAAGCGAGTCCATCAAAGTGCTTATAGCTTTCAAAACGAAGATAATCTCCGTCACTTGCTGCCTGAAAATCATAAGAAGCAAAAAAAAAAAAAACACGAGTAAGACAGCAAAGTAAATTTATGATATTCTTTTGTTGATGCCGTTTTCATGTGAGTGTGAAAAAAGTTACTGCTGGTCTAGTTGATAAATCCGAATAAAATACCCCGAAGTTTGTGATTGGCTGAATGTTTTTTTAAAAAAATGGGTGCATCTCCATTAAGCAAATTTATTTCTGTACTTCCAATTTGCACAACTTTATGGTCGATGGAAACGTGGCGGCTGCGACAAAGCGTACGGACATACCTCGGTAACGGACAGCGTCCGCTCAACCGCTCGTCCTCCACGTAGCGTCGGAGGACGTCCTGGGCCCTCTTGAGGAGCACGGAGAGCGCCATGCGAGAGATGTAGCCCTCCTGAGGGGTGGACACCTTGTTGCTGAAGGAAAACTGGAGCAGCGTCTCGAAGCACACCTTCGAAAACTCTTCCCGCATCCGCACGTCTATCTCAGCCTCTGAGGAAAGAAAAACCACATTGGTATCTATAGAGTTAAACCGACCGCTATCCTTTTGCGACACTTCAGCGGTCGCTGCTGCCACTTTCATTCGACTCTAGTTTGTTTGTCTGGAAAGTCGGGTTTGTTTGGGGAGGTGTGAACGCGCGATCAAACTCTGATGGAGGCTAAAAAAAGCAAACGCTAGTCCACCTAAAAAGCTAGGTCTTGGTTTGATTCAAGTGAACTTTGGTGTGGTTCGAATGCATATCTGAACACCTAGCGGACCGGAGACCGCTCCAAAAGCAGGATGTGGACTATAGTGCAAGGCATTCTGGGTAAATACAACCAATCCAATGCACAAGTTTAGTGCTAGTGGGAGAAATGCCTCGTGGTCTTTTACCAAAGACAAAAGAGCAATGCTACACCAGCTAAAATCCGACACCACTCCATTTTTCTTTGTGTCGTTTCCTTCAGTACCTCTTGATGCCTCAGGTTTTTGAAAGTGCTTGGTTCATTTTACACAGTGCAGCATGAAAGCGAATCGCAGCTGAAAATGTAATAAATGTTGCACTTTTGGTCCCCAAACGAACCGAGTCTATCGGACTACCAGGTGTGAAGACAGCCTTAATTTTACCTGTGAACGAGGGAGCTTGGGAGTGAATGGAGCCCTTGTTGAGCATAGCCATGATCTGACCAACAAAGTCTTTGGGGATGAAATTGGCAAATGGTAAAATCTCTGTGCTGATCAACTGGACCACCTGAACGGAAGGAGACCATTATGATGTAAGGGGAAAGAAAAGAAGCGAAAACGTTTCTGAGATACGTCACTGGACGCTTGAACGGATAAAATACCTCAACATCGATCGATTCGTTCTGCTGAAACTCCTGAATGGACAGATTATCAGGGGGAGAGCTGAAGAAAAAAAAAAAAAAGGTTAGCGCACCACGAGAGCATTCTGAAACCGTCCGTACGCGTCAACGAGGTTTGAGGGGAAAACATACCTTTTGGTGAAAAGAAAGTCTTCAAAGGCGTTGGCCAACTCCGGCCACATGGTGTCGAACTTCCCAGACGAGGCATGTTGGCGAGCAACAGGCAACCCGATGGACAGCACCTTGAGCAGAGACGACACGGCGAGCTTCCAGGTGCTCTCCGACGGACAGGCGTACTTCAAACCCAGCGGCATTCTTAAAGTCTTGAAAAAGGGAAAAGAAAAAAAAAGAGCGCAATTTTAATCTTATGAACATTGTTTGAAGAACTATAATAACAAAATGTATAAAACTTAGAGCAGCTCTGCTGCGTTTGTTCTGATGTTAGTCTTTTTTTTGGTTGCTCTTTATGGGTTTTGGATGCTGTGCAACTGTCAGGATTTTTGCTCTTATGTTTGTACTTGCAGATAGTTGATTATGATGCATAACCGTGGCAACAAGGTATTTTTATTTTTTTACAACTGGGAGCAACTGATTAGCATCTCAAAAGCATGTAGGATGTGAAAACAAGGACCGTTTATCTAATTATTTATTTACTCATCCATGTCTAGTTTCACATGCAACATATTTTTTCAAAATGAACATAGAGGACAAGAAAGAAAAAAAAATAAAAACGGACTTAGTGACTTCATTAAACCACCATACTGTAAGAAAATGGACAGAATGGCAACGGATGAAACTGCCTGTGGAAAAACTATTTTATGCACAAAAGACTTTTAGGGTTCTTAAAAGACAATAGTGATTTTATTTTTGAGTAAGTAAAGGACAATGGAGCTACCAACTTTTCATTGTCTTAGCAAAGTGTAGCTAGACTGTTTCCTTATTTTGATTTAAAAAAAAAAACATGTTGAAAATAATTTTTAAAAGTGTCATTTTGTTTTTCTTTCCTTTTTTCCCCTTTTCATTAAAATTAGATTCGATTAAGGCAGAAAAATGTTTCCTGAGACATTGGAGAACTAGTTTAAACTTTATTTCTTTGGTTTGCAGCAGGACAGCAGCGAGTTCTGAAGAGAAAAATTTATTTTAATCTTTGCAAATCAGAACCGAGAAAACAACGAGACACTTTTCAAATGTTGGATGCTTCAACATTAAAGTCCAGATTCTGCCTGCAGACGTTGTGTTGAACGTGTTGGTTAATAACAAATCAGTTCTTTTTGAAACTTTATGTCTGCACAAACTGGCAAGTTACTGTAATCCCACAGAAATGACAAACGTAAAACTAGAAAGAATCACGAGCAAAGACGACTTAACGGCATCAGATCTGGTACAAAACTAAACGTCCTCCTTACTGAAAATATTCTGCATAATAATCTTAAAAGAAATGTACTCTGAGGCTAAATAGTAGCATTTATCATAGGCAAACATGATGAAAACGGCTTTGTTATTGTTCCTGTCAGAAGTCAGAACTTGTAAAACTCTCCATGGATTTTATGAATGAATTTCTTTGACTACGCTTCTTAAAATTCACATTTTAGCTCATATTTACTCAGCATAAATACCTTGATGATATTCTGCAGAACCTTCTCGTTGATGACAGCTTTGTGGCACGCCGTTTTATGGTAAAGGTCCACCACCACCTCCAAGGACCGCTCAGCAAAGGGCACGTAGTTTAAGGCAACCCACTCTGCCTGTGGAGGCAAACCCCCCCAAAAAAAACATTTTACATTAACCTGAAAATCTAAAAATCAGAAAGAAAAGATTCCCTCTTCAAAATCTGGCAACACTGAAAGCGTGATTTAAAGGCACACTTTAAAGCAGGAAGGAAGAAACTTTACCGCTGCTATAAGTTTTGCCCCATGATGTTAGAGTCAAACCATCAAAGTGTGCCTTTAAGAAACAAAGAGAGCCACACTCGTGTAAAAAATAAATAAATTAATAAATAAATAAAAGGATCACCAAAAATCACAAAGTCAACTAAAAAATGAACTCCACAAGGACGGTGCACACAGAGGCGCAACGACCAGTTAGTGGCAGGCAGAGAGGGGTGGAAGGGTGCAGGAGGAGGAGGGATGGAGTGAGTGTGAGACGCAGATGAGACACGAGAGAAAACACCGAGCGGACCGATTCCTCGTCTGCCGCAGAGGGGAGCTCATCACCGATCAGCTTAGTGCCACTATAGATGAGGGAGGGGGCGGGGTGGAGGAGGGTGGAGGGGGCGGGGCTTGAGGCAGATAGCGAAACTCACCGGTGCAAACAGCTGGATCTAAAATTGGTTATCCGCGGTGAGCGGGTCCGAGAAACAGAATGAGAAAAAGACTGAGATTAACCGGCTGCTTTGAAGCAGAGGAGCTGACTTTGCAGAAAATTAACTGTTATGATTTTTTTATTTTATATATATATTTTTTTGTTGGGGGGGAGAATAAGTCAGGGATAATTGAGCCAATCAGACGTGAGGAATTAACGTCCACTGTCTTTTCGAAACTTTGCTGCTTTACAACCAAAACCGTCAAAGTTATTTAGTTGGAATTTTATGTAAGAGAGCAAAAATATTTCAGTCTAGACTTTTTGTTTGAAACCCTTAATTTATGTCTAAGGGTCAAAATAAATAACATCAAGCGCCAGGCATCACGCAACCCTTCAAGGGTAAGCTAGTATGGACGACCTCACTGTGCATAAGTTTTCCCTTCTCTTCAGATGTAACCACAACTGTCAAAAGTGTAAACATAAAAAAAAAAAAAATCCTTCAGTTTGCTTACCCATCGATGCTGGAGTAAGCAACGTTTGATACTTTACACACAAATGGAATCAAAAGTAAAATCTGTGGCACCAGCAGAGCATTCTGGGATTTGTAGTATTAGCAACACTTCTGCCATCTGGTGGCTGGCTGGTAGAATCTCTTATTAAACCAGTGGGCCAAATATATTTAAACAACAGGCCAAATTTGGCCCATGTGCCTCAGTTTTGACACCTATAACCTAAACCATTCATTGCAGCTCTGCCTGCTTGTTTGTTTTGTGTGTAAAAATGTGAAAAACACATCATGCACTGATGTGTTACTTAATCACACAGAATCTATGAAGGATTTGATCTTAGTAGGACAAAATATCGAAAAGATAACAGTGACGTGAATACTTTTGCAGAAGAGAATACTTTTGTGTGTAGAGTTAGATATCTGAACATCTCTCATCAACATCTGGGTTAGAATTTAGAAACTGGCAGTCGCCCAGGGCCCCAGGTTTTGGGGCGGCCCACAAGAAAAAGCAATTTATTTTTGGGGTATTATGCATGTAATTAAACTCTCTGGCTCCTTTCACATGTGGCGTTTTTTTTTTCTTCAATATTGTTGGATTTTCAAAATTTTAACACCACTCAAAAAATGATGACATCATAGCATATCTTTCATGAAGCCATCTGCCAAATGTTTCAAATCAGCCATCCATCAATTCATACATCCTAATGTGTAGCTTTGCATGAGTAAAATATTGTATTTGTTTATTGTTTGGCAGGGGGACTGGGCATCAAAACTGGCTCCAACCCGGAGGCCCTTATTTTTCTGAACCCGGTCGTGAATCTGGTGGATAACACACAGCACATTATTTTCTGCGAGCATTTTTCTCGACATTTTGTTTGGGTTTTAAATCTCAGCGGTTGGCATCATTCTGTGCAGATAACGCGCGGCGTCTCTCAGGTCTGAGAACTTGTTGACTGAAGAAATTGTCATTTCCCAGCGTGCAAACAAAGATGCTGTAGTTAGATGTTTTGTAACTACTGCAATCTCTCTCACAATAATTCAAAGACTAAAGAAAAGTGACAACACAAGCTAAACTATGTGCATGTTGGGAGCCAAATCTATGCAGGAGGGAGGGATTTTCAGAAAGAAATAGCTTGCAGCTTCTAAAACAACTCCATAAGCATGTGAGGAATAGTTTGATTGGATAGGAGGTTGGATTATATTCAGCCTCCTTTGATGTAACAAACAAACAAAACATCCAGAACACCTGCGTGGAGGTGGCATGGTGAGTCGGAGGTCGTACCTGGTTGTACTTAGCGTTGGCCACGTGTTTGGTTTCCACCCGGCCGTACTGAGGAGGCTTACAGGAAAACTCCACGAAAAGCAGCAGCTGCTCAAAGATGGCCGGGTACATGACCTGCAGGTTCTCAGGGCCCACACAGATGGCCTGCAGCGGGGAGGGAGGAGAGGAACAAACACCGCTGACATTCACCGCAGGACTGCATATTCGATGATGCAAACAAACAATCTTCCCCCGAAGCAGCTCTGAAAATCTGTCCTGCTGAAACCATTTATATCATTACTTTTTTGACTCAGAGAGCTTTTAACCATTGTTTTTTTAATCCTTGACATATGAGGTAAAATAAATCATATAATAACCCATAATTAGGGCTGCACAATTTGGAGTGTTGCAGTAACAATGGCCTGCTTGGATTCAATTAGGGATGCACTGATGGGAACATTTTGAGCGAATATCACTCTCTAACACTAACATTGCTGTTATAGATGATTACTGATATTTACAATGATCAATAATTGCATAGCCAACTTGAAACAAAACAAAACAAAAAAAAACACAACTACACAGCTTATATTGCCCCTCTAATTTAGTTAAACACTCCCAAAATCATTGAATCGCTGACTGGATGTCCAAACAAAAACAACATGGCTGACTCCAGTGGCGACCACAATTGGGGGGTCAGGGGGGGCCATGGCTCCCTCATAAAAAATAGTAGCCATACTGAGTTATCTTTTTCCATGCAGACATAAATGTACAACAAAATAAATAAGCAAAATTATACATTTTATTTACAAATTCTGCATGCTCTGAGTATTTTTGGTGTTTTTGATATACTTTGAATTCCCTACACGTCCAAACCAGATGTACATGTTTAGTAGAGGGTGGGCATTTATTGTGTCATTTATCATTTATCGTGAAAAATTTCTTATAAGAATTTTGATTTATCATTATAAATTTCAGTTCCTGATGGTAGATAAAAAAAATTTAAAAATTGACCATAAAATCGGAAATGTTATTTTTACCATTTTCTCCACCGTTTGTTCCACAAAAGCATCAAAATCATGATTTAATGCACTTGTTGTGTGCAGTATTTACAAATCAGACTTTTTAAAGTAAATGCCTCTGTAAATCGGAATAATTTTCAGGAGTTGTACTTGTGTTTGTGGCGCTATGAATGCTGTGTCTGCAGTCACAACCAACCAGTTCTCCACAAAATACGTAATAAGTAGTTTGTTTGTTTTTTAATCACAATCTCTAGTGTTTTCACAATAGCACCATAAAACATCGTGATAAAATTAGAAATCCATATTCCCCAACACTGACGTTTAGCTGTGGAGATGCAAAGCATCGTGGGGACATTTTCATGAAAGAACAGAAAAGATTCAAATTTCCCACAATTAACCCCTTCATCACGATATTCCGCAGCGCCCCAGCTGCGCGCCGCCCTACCTTCTGCAACACATCCAGAGCGGTGAGCACAGCTTCCTGCAGGCTAGTGAGCGTGGCTTCTGTGTAGGAAGGCAGGATGAAGGGCGAGGCGTCGCTGCTTATCGGCACAGACACGGCGCCGTGGAGGATCACTCCCAGCTTCTTCAGGTCGTCCATGCTGAAGTTCGCTTTGATGTGCTGGTAGAGCGCCGGGAAAATCTGGATCAGTGCCGTGAGGAAGGGCTGGCTCGGGATGAAGGCCAGCTTCTCGGCCGGGCCGCTGGGGGGCCTGGTGCTCTCCGTTCCCGCTCGGTACCACGTGTTCCACGCGGACCACCACAGCGTCGAGTCCTCCAGTGCGGACTCCTCCCCCGGCGGCTGCGCCTGCAGCTCTGCGCCGTTGTACCTCGTCAGCCTCTCGACCAGCGAGTCTGAGCGCACCAGGGGTCTGCCGGGGCCGGAGGCGGAGAGCGGGTCGATCAGGACGGGGGGCACGCCCATGGCGGCGAGCGCGTCCCCAGCTTTGTCCGAGTCTTTGACCGGCGTGACGATCTGCAGGATTTCTTGGAAGCTCTTGAGAGCGGCTAGCGAGACCTCGTTGTTTTTACTGAGGGCGGCCGACTGGATGTGGTTCAACAGAACCTCCCAGGCCTCAAAGAAATCCCCTGCGGAAACATGGCGAGACGGTCAGAACCAACAAGAAGTGGCTGTGATTACTAGGGGTGTCCTGATCCGACATCAGCCATAAGAAAAGTTACATCGTCCTGCATCCAGACCCATTGGTTAACAATAAATAGGTCACTTATTCTAAAACTATTGTTCTCCGTTTAAGTAACATCACTAGATTTCTAATGTTCCACACTACAAAATAAGTAACAAAAAATATCTGATTTGTGTTGATATCGTATCGGGTCAATATCGGTATCGGTCGATACGCAAAGCTCCAATATTGGTATCGTATCAGAAGTGACACCTCTGAAGATGATCAACGCTTTCATATGAAGCTTTTGTGAAACGCGTAGCATCTGTTGCAGGCTCACCTAGTTGCTGGAGGAGATACCGCCTCGTGTTGAAAATGCGAGCCACACCGGCCAGTGTCAGCACCCAGGTCTCTGCCCACTGCTTTTCGGCAGTGTCACGAGAGTGGTGGATGAGGATGTTCCCGCCCCCAGACTCGATCTTCTCCTTGTCCGCTGTGGTGGAGGACGTCCTCACACAGTCCAGTAGCTGGAACAAAACCTAAAATACCAAAGAAAGATGCCAAAGAGGAGGCAATTAAAGGAAAAACTCTGTTTGCTTCAAATTCAAGGTCAAATACTTCTTCAAGGTATAAATGAACTAAGAGAATATCAATGCTCTTAAATTTGATCTAATTGTTTCAGCATAGATAAATTAAATTTATGAGGCTTTAGTAGCTCTTTCGTTTCGTGTCTACTGAGTTTTTAATAAGCGCCACAGAGACTGATTTGGTTCCTCGAGCTTCATGGGATGAGTTGTCCTGTTCTCTGTGCAGAGATGTTTGCTTTTTAATAAAAACAAAAACACACAAAGGCTTATAATACACTGGGGGAAACCCTGCGGCACGCTACCTTCCAGACCACGATGTGCCACGTCGGCTGCTGCAGCAGGGTCCCGTGGGCGGCAATGGTGGAGAACAACGTCTGGCCTGCGCTTTTGCGTACGGCGGGCCGCGGGTCGACGCACAGCTCACCCAGCTTGGCGTACAAACACAACCACAGGCAGTCGAAGGGAGGGGCAGGGTGGAACGGCCTGTTCAGCGTCTCGCCCTTCTCCAGCGCCTGCTTCTGCAGAGCCTCCTCCTCTCTCTCCAGCTCCTGGGTGATGGCCTCCCCTCTTTGGAAGAAGTAATCGGAAATGTTCCACTGTGGATGAACATGGAACGGAGGACAAAAAGGGGGATTTATCTCCTCGTCACGACACGAGTTAGCGCATCGTTCACTGAACATGACTGTGGGAAATGACGAGTGAAAGTTCACCAGCAGGCCGATGGAAGTAAGGCTGATGTTGAGCTCCTGGTTCTGAAGGCCGAAGCTGCCGGCCACATCCACCACAATCTGGAGGCACGTGCAAGGCATTGTGGGGAGGAAGTCGGTCACCACCAACTGCAGGCACTGGAAGGCTGTTCGGATCAACGATTCGCTGAGAAAACAACAGGAATCAAAGGTCCGTGTTAGTAAAACGCCAGCAGCCGACCGCCGCCGCGTCCATTGTTCTTACCCTTGATCGTTGCGGATAGCGCCGATGACACCCAACACGAGGGGCCAGGCGGGGCCGAGGCTGTCGCCCTGACTCTGCAGGATCTGAAGGACGCACTCCAGCTGTTTCTGCCGAATGTCGGCGTGTAACACGTTGGACAGCTCCTTCAGGGGGTTCAGCAGCAGCAGCTGCAGCCGCTTTGGGGAGAGGAAGAACATGACTAGGGCTGAAACGATTAACCCGATTAATCGCGATTAATTCATTATTCAAATAATCATTAACTAATTTAGCAATCGATTAATCTATAAATTGAATATAAAGACTCAAAAAGCCATTTGCTGGCAAAAACAACATATTAAGGGGAATACTTTATAGGTTATATGGGAAATCTGCAGAATGTGCCAAGTTTTCTTATCCGATTAATCGTTAAAACATTCTGTAGAATAATCAATTACTAAAATAATCGTTATTTGCAGCCCTGCACATGAAAATCGGTTCTTGATTTGCAAATCTGCAATTTAAAAGCTGGCAGGTGCAGTCATAGCAACGCCACAAAATTATTTCCCCATGTCCCTCAGAAATAAGATATACAGGTATTAGAAGATGATGATGCAAATAATAACATTGAGGATTGGGCTCATTCAAAGTAATGAATACATTTGAACGGCCGGCCTGAGGAATGTGACAGAGGTTACAAGAATGATCAGAGGTTCCTGAACCCTGGAAAGCTAAACTAATAACCAAACTAATGAAAATAACAGATTAAAAACATAAAAATCTTTGTTGTCTTTTCAATAACTGCAACAAAAAGTTTTTCAATTGAAAATCTTGCTTATTTTTGTCAAAATATTACATTAACGAGTGTTGACATATTAAGTTTACAGAATAAATCTCCACAAATTACGAAAAATCCACAAAAATGGGCATAAACGTCTTACAGAATCAGCCTAAAATATAAATGCAATGTATATCTATGACGGTGAAATGCACCCATGCACATCGACTACTAATATTGATATGTTTTTCTCTGAGTTTTGCAGATCTATTCTTTTGCACAGTTGTGTCCGGCCTTAATGGTGTCGCCTGTATCTGCTTCAGCGAGGTAAAGGTCACCAAGTCTCACAGCACAAGATGACGGTGACATATCTTATCTCGTTTTCTTGCAGTTGGCAGACGCGTGCTCGTCATGGTTACTACGTGACAGCGGAGACTTTCTAAATGTCAGCATCACAAACAGCCAATTTGAAGGACAAATGCAGAAAAAAAGTGCATTAGGAAAGTCTAGGAAAATTGTTTTTTTAAATTATTTTTTATATTTCTCCATAAAGTTTGACATTATTTAGCGCAAAAACAAGAAAAGAAGAAAAAAAGAGCGTCTTTTGAGTGCGTGATCAAGCCTACCTGATTTTGGGCGAGCGGAGGGTTGTGTTTATAGGAGAGCCCGGCTTTGATTAGCGCCGTCAGGGCCTCGGCCCCCCACTCTCTCATTCTGGAGTTTGGGTGCTGGCAGACCTACAAGAGACACGAAAACACCAGACGCATAAAAGATCAACCTGCAGCTGTAGATTAGGTTGTTACAGACGAGGCAATGTTGGGAGTGTGGATACACATGGAGAGGCCTGGATGAGTAGCAGAACAAATACACAGCTGGATCTACCTCTGTAATTGTAAACAGGTAGACATTTTAGAAATGAAATGACAAATTCAGAATCCAGATGATCCATGTGTATCATTTTGTGTCCACATAAAGCTCAACATTTTAATCACAATCTGCATTTGGAAAATAATAATAATTAAAAAAAAACATGGTAAAAGTATGAATCGTAGCATAGTTTCTTTAAACTATGAAGGAATTTGAATAAGCGCGCAGGGAAAGATTTCAGATAGGCAGACTTTGAAGGTGCACATTTAGATTCTTGCTGTGTGATGAGTCAGATTAACACGGCAAACAAACTGCGGACACATTCTGACATTCAGCGCCGTCTCGGATCCAACAAGTTTATGTTGGACAGCGAGAGAGAGAGGAAGAGAGAGACATGAGGGGAAAAAATAAACGAGAAAAAGAAGTGGTTCAAAAAAATAATAGCTTACCTTCTGCAAAACAAACGTGTGCAAAAGAGAGGGGGAGATAAGGAAGATGTAAAGAAACCTTTCAACACTCTGAGACAGATGTCCAAATGTAGAAATGTTACTCAACACTTCTGACATATTTTGTCACGGTACAACTATAAACTTTAATGCAGATTACTGATATGTGTATGTTAACTGTGCTTTCTTCAAAAATGAAAACAAAAAACTATTTTAAAACCATATATCACCTTTGTTCCACTTCACAGGTAACTCTACTTTGTCTTTAACATAAAATCTCAACAGAGGTCATTAAAGATCATGGTTTTACCGGGACACACTGTGGAAAAATTCAACGAGTATGAAAACTTTTTCACTTTTTATTGACACTCCCTGCATTATTTCACAGGGCAGAGCATAAAGGCTATTATGGGTTTACATTAGGTTTGAAAATATTTGAAAAAATGTAAAGATTTATTGACATGCAAGTAGGGATCTGAAAATTTGGGCAAATACCGACATCCGATATTAATGTAGCGGTTATGGACGATATCCAATATTTTATATATCATGTATATTTAAATTACATTTCAATAAAAAATAAAATAAAATAAAATAAAAACACCACACTGCTGACATTGCTAAAAAGTCAATAATTCTGCCTCATTATCACACAGCCACAGAAAAACAACCCCAAAATTACCTCAAACACTTACACTGATGTGAAAAAGAAGGCAGAAACAACGGTTATCAATATCTGCCCAGGTACAAAAAAATGACTAAAATCGGCCAATAACGATGTTGGCGCTGACATACATCAGCAAAATGTATACAAGTCCTAGCAGCCTTCCAGTCTGTCAATGTAAACAGGGCATTTTAAGTAAACAGTAATTGAGCTTTCTGCAGAATCACTTTCTAATATCCGTTTGTGCAAACATACCATAAGATGGTGTTTCATTTGGCATATTTGTGGGGGGAATAATGAAATGTTTCCAACAACTGTTTCCCACTAAGCGTCTCGGCCTATTTTTAGCCGTCATTAGTGGGCGGGTTTAACACAGGTAAAGGTTACCTCTAACAGGTGTCCTGTCAGGGGTCTCCACAGGATCTCGATGCGGTCCATGTTGACGAGGCCAGTCTCCAGCAGCTTAGCGACGGCGAACAGAGACGGCTCCTGAACAACGGCCAGAAAACAAGACGTATGAAAGTATTGGAAGTAGCGTGAAACGACATGTGAGGCAATGCAGATGTAAGATTGGATTTTAACCAGTGGAAACTCAAAAAGAGAAAATATTGGTGAGTTTGAAAACTTTTCTTACCTTATTATTTCCATAAGCCATTTCCATGGCCTCCAGAGAGAGGGAACAGAGCGCATTGATTAAGTGATGCAAAGACACGTCATCCAGGTACCTAATAAAAAAAATACATATTTTAAAATTGTTTTACTTTAATAGTAAAAGGTAAACTGTAACTATAAATGTGAGTAGGGGTGAACATTTATCGTATTGTTTATCATTTATTGTGATAAATGAATTATGATAAGAATTTTGACTTATTGTTGTCACAATAAATTCCAATTAATTGTTTAAAATCCCCGAAAACTGTCTGAATTGTTAATTTTACTATTTTTTCCACACTGTTTGTTCAGTAAATGCCAATAAATTTTAAAATCTGACTAAAAACAGTTACAATATTCATGTAGCTGATATAAATCACATTTCTTTGTGTTACTGGTATCCTAAAGAAGCAAATGGGAACGTTTTTCAAGAGCAGTATTTGTGTTTGTGGGGCTAGAATTGCTGTGACACGCAGTCACAACCACACAGTTACCTAAAAATAAATAGTTCTTTTCGTCACTTTTATTGATATCACAATAGTACCACTAAATATTGTGCTAAACTTTAAGTCCATATCGCCTAAATGTGATGCTGATTAGCTGAAAACATATTAAACTTATACTAAAATCAATACTAAATTTGACAGCATTGAAGATTGAAAAATTCTTACTGTGAGCTTTCAAAGAGTCGGGACAGGATGTTGGAGATGACGGGCAGATCCGTCATGACTGCTGTGGTCAGCACCTGTTCACATTCAGTCAGTTAGCTCAACGTAAAAGGTGGCAGCAAAGAAAAATTTCCCTATGTGAAAAAGACAGAAACAAAACTCACCGTACTCGGTCCCTCCACGGCTCGCCCCGGTTTCAGGGCTCCGCCCACCGCAGGCTTTAGTCCCAGGATCCAAACTAGATGCTGGGAGAGAAAGAAAAAGCTGTCAAAGTTGATCCGACGCCATCCATCACAGAGCAGATTCATGAAATAAAACAATGGAGATGTATGTCTCCATTCTTTTATTTGTACAAGTGTAAGGTATGTAAAGCCCTCAACTCCCTAATCAAATTACACGAGTGGCGAGGTGTGTCGTACCTGGAGGGTCGCCAGCACCAGCTGCCACGACGTCCCCAGCACGGCGCCGTGGCAGTGAGCCAGGTTCAGCAGCGTCCTCATGCACTGGATGTTTTTGGCAGTCAGCTGAAATAAAAGCGAGATGATTATTTACACGGTGACACGCTTAGCGGACACCTAAAACTAAAACAATCTTAACGAATGACGGAGCATGTGGAGTGAAAACGGCACATGCTTCGTTTTCACCGCTACAGTTAGACTTGATAAAACATTTTGCTGGGTGATAAATTGCGATAAACGATAATATTGTTGTTTTGACAACTTTTTTGAGTAAATTATTGATAAATGGGAAAAGTAATGCAAGTTCGCCCTCTCTCAAAGACGAATACATTTTCATTTTGTAAAGGTCACTTGGCACTGGGACTGGAAGACATTTTAAACACCCCAAAATAAAACAACAACCAAAAACAATAAATAAAAATGAAAAAAAAACAAAAAACAATCACACATGTGAAACCATTAAAAAAATTATTATGATGTTTCTGAAAACAAAATTGCTCTTCAAAATTGT